TAGCACAACACTGACAAGGACAGCTGTTAAATGTTGAAGGTAATGGCTTCTTAAAAGCTAAAATTTAGATATATATTTTTTTTCCCTTTGCTCCCACCGGATCACCTAAGATGACTCCACAAATTAGCACCTAAACCATAGCAGCAAAACCTTTTGTAATTTATTAAATAGATTTCAAAGCGATGAACGTCACACCAAATATAAAGAGTCAGTCTAATCTATAATGTCTAAAAGTTTATGTCCTAAGTAGCCGTTGAGGACATAAAAAAATGTATGGTTTGCATCCTGTTCACGTAGCATTGGATGTTTTTGTTATTGTGAAAGGCAGAAAGTTTCCAGTAGGTGGTTTTCAGCAGGTCAGGATTCTCTCTCACACACGCTCACAGTCATCGCTCGTACTCACAGGAGGTTTTCGTACAGCCACAGGATGGAAAAAAAGAATCAAGTCGCTCTTTGCGCCGCAACCAGGGAATCCCCTTTTGTGTCCAGCTCGATTGGAAAGAACCGTTAATCTGCGTAAAGTGTGAAAACCATGCCGCAGCTGTTTGCTGATCATGATTCAACATTATGCAGCCTTTTGTAAAGTGAAGTGATAACGGTCGCTGCACTGCCACAAACTCGGCAGAGGATGTGAAGGCTTCAAGTTAGCATCTGTCACTTCTGTTGCCATAACATGCACGTAACATGGTGGTTTCCTCTGTTCAGTTGGGCTGTTTTTCCTAAGAAGGTGCAGCTGTATTATTTCAAGGATGTTATCTGTGCTTTTGTACCTATCAGGTAAAAGAGAACAGAAAGATAGGAAAAGTGAAGCTCGGAGCAGATTGTAATAAAACCAGGCTGTAGCATCGCTGGTGTCGACAATCCCCGCTACATCTTCACTCGGTCTTGTGGCATTTTATTTACAACAGAGTCAGTCAAACGGATCACATTTTCACCCTCCAGGCCGACGCTGCTAAAGCGGCACCGTGCAGCAGGAAACGCGAGCAGCTGCACACCTTTTCTCCCTGTCCCCAGGGTGAAGGTAGAGAGCTTTGTCATGTGCCTGCATCTTATGTCACCCACACGGCTTGGCTCAACATAAAGGCTATGAATGTCATCAAGACGTGATCTCCCTCAGGTTATATTTAATATCATCGTCTTTATAGTGGAAAAAAGGCTGCGTTTCAGCTCCTGCTGCCTTCACTAGTCTGGCATGAAAACAACACACTGGCCTGGGTTGACTGTTTTTCCACCTTTCACTTGCAAAGTGACTCTTTACTTTCAGTGTTATCTTCCCTGTGTTGCTAGGTGGCAACTCACTTTACACAAAGCCTACAATGATACCCTGTAGCTCCTATTTATTAGAGGAGCAGTGTGATAACTATGTCATTTCATTGAGTTATTTGCTATGTGATGTCTCTATTGGTAAGCTTTTATTGGTTATTCCTGTTTCTTGTTGTGGGTTTGTTTTTAAATGCTTTTATGACTTTCAGTACACTTTCTTGGTAACTTCAGCCCTCTTTAGAGTTGTGACTTTTTGTGACAGATTTCCAACTGGGAAACTTCTCATGATGACTCGGAAAGCCAAGTCATAAAGTATGCAACGTGGCTGAAATATTGAAATATTTGGCTGAATTTGTCACACCCATGTTCCTACTTAAGAGTGCGCAAACACACTGATCAGAAGAACCTCCCAAAGTTAAACGGTACTACTTTTAAAGCCTACACTGATTAGCCAGCCTCTTTCATTGCTAACAAATGCTAATTTCTGTCTAATAGGAGCCATATTTCATGTAGGCAGTTTGGATTTTATACTAGCTTATGCTTCTTTGACTACACCATTAATAGCAGCCATTAAAAGTTAGATCAAAGCTTCAACGTTGCCTTTTGTCCTACAGTCAAATCACAGGAAACCCAGATATTTCTAGCTTGAGTTGCTCAGTATGTAACCGCCTTCACACCAAAATATCACCGAGAGTTGCGCGCTGCTAACCTGATTTATTTTTTCGTTTGTTTTGTTTTTTCGTCAGTATTGTGTCAAGCAAAATGCCTGCTCAGCAGAGGTGCAGAGGTTAAGAGACAAGTATAAATCGAAATCGGGCATATGTGACGGTTTTGCTTCCCTCTGTGCACGAGGCGAGTTAAGCATTAACCAGCGAGAGCGTTTTCATGCTCTCTCACCCTGCGGTCAGTTACCTCAGGAGTCAGCTGAATGCATCTAAATGAAACGAAACAAAGGTGAAGCCGCCCTCTTCTCTTCAGGTTAAACAAGAGTCCTTTTCTTTATTTCTATATCTTACCTCGTCCCTGTGTGTCTCTGACTCACAGCAGACTTTCACAAACAAATGCACTCACTACATGAGTCATTCTTATCTACTTTCTTTTCACGGAGGAACAACCAGTGGCTGCAAATAAAGTGTTTTTAATAGTGTCAAGTTTTATACTGTATATGTCATATCACACTCGAATCACTCACAACTGATTTGTTATTTTGGAAGCAAGTCCTGTGACAACCTGCAAGAATCACATGGGGCATTCATAGCTTTAAAGGATCGACAGCATTAGAGAACCCAACTTTAAAGCTCCACTTTTCCTTTTTGATCAGCATTTAATCTTCCTAGAGCCCAATGTGAGGTCTTTAGCTGTCTAAAACCAAAGATATTCAAATTTTCAGCTGTCAAAAAAAAATTTGGAGCCTGCAAGTGTTTGACATCTTGATTGATGATTTGCTTGAATGTTAATCAGCTGTCAAAATCGTTTTTGTCAAATCGGCTGCTGTGCTTGTTCACCACTAGCCAAGCTCACTGCTCCTTTTGGATTTTTTTTTTCTTGCACTACTTGCAGCACAAATTGTGTGATCATTTACTAACCATCTGATGAGGCAGTTTGCTCTTTCAGCGTAGGGGCAGCTGTGTTGTACTAAACCCTTGGCTGCTCCCCACCTCCTGCCTCATAGCTGACCTCATCCCTATGTGATGGCTCTGCAATGTCAGTCAGGCTCAGGGACCAAACCTATCTATTCACGTGTATTGATATTGCATTGACCTGAAGGACAGCAAGCCGCAGATTACCTCACCGGTAACACTAGCTGTATTGTGCTGAATTTTGCATGGTCACATTGACCTGGTTACTTCTTCATTATTCATGGGAATGGGAGGAAGGCAGCAAAATGAATACACGCGCATGCATCTATGTATGCCTATCTAAAAGATGGAGTTGGGGAGAGATTTAAAGAAGCATCGGGTTGAAAAGACAGTGAGGTTGATACTTTTGGCTTCACTTCTTGAAACATAAGAGCCATGTGACCTATGTTGCTTGTGCGTTCATGCCTGTGCGTGCATGCGTGTGTGAACTCAATCAGTCCTCGGGCAGAAAAGGGTGCGGGAGTAATCCAGCACAGGAGACATAAAACCCCAACCATTAGTGGACCAGCTCACATAACCCAAGCACTGGCAGCTGACAGACATGCGTAAACACATGGCACTGCTTTGCCATATTCAGCGTGGCTTCGGCATTCAGCACCTCTTCCCCCATTTCCACCACCACAGGCCTCTTCTTTCTGTCACTACACTTGGGCGGCTCACAAATATTTGCCATGGGGCTCTGTAAGCTCTCAGAAGTCAGGATTAATGGTGGTGTGTGCCTCACACCCAGGGCCTGACAAAGAGTCCCCATCTGGAGTTCCAAGCCGTGACTGAGGAGCACAGGCAGCACACAGAGCCCGGTCAAGGCGGCCGGTGGGGGGGGGTCTATAGGCACCACTCCATAAATGAGCAGGACTCCACAGCAGTTCTGATGAATGAAGGGGTGTCTCTGTCTTTTGATGGAATTGGGTGGAAAGGAGGTCCTCCATGTGAGCTTGGGCCTAGTGCCACACCAAATGGATTACATTTCCACTACCAGCTGATTAAACAACCAAATCTGCATCCATCACTGGGCCTTGATCCAAACAATGGCAGCAGCCAGTGTTGAAGCTACAGCCTTGCCTGTCTTGACCAAGTCCACAGCTTTCCCACAATTTAGGAAATCGTGTGGAAACAGGATTATGGGTAGGGTAATTTTGGGCATTGGCCTGTGACCTTTTGATGTAGGGTACTTTATATGGGAAAAAATGTAAAGATCATTTCTGTGTGCGTGCTGTAAATACAATAACCCTTTCTGTGCAGTCCATCCAATTATAATCGTAGAACAAGACTGTACACAAGTCTGAGATAAACCATTTTCAGCACCTTAGCATTAGTTCATTTGCTAATTTGTCCTAAATGCAGAGTAACGATTACGCTGATAAGAATGTCAGGGGAATGCTGCAAGTGTCTCTTGCACTGGTGCCTCTAAATGTCTTAACAAAAATTTGAGGTCAATGTAGTCAAGGGGCCACAGAGCCACGAGATTAGCACAGCTGAACAGCAAGTTTGGTGAAATCGGTCTGTTACCATGTGTGGAAGTAATGTGTTTTGTTACAGCCTCACAGATTAACAGTATATTACGATTTGATCCTAACCTTGATACAAAACAGCAATATAATTGTGGTGTAGTGGCCTGCAGATATGATAGAAAGGTGTGGTTATGGAGCCACCGTTACCCTGAAATACCTTCAAATCAACTGATATGTTGGGCAAAGGATGACGACTGTGGATGTACTCTGGATGTAGTCAAAGACATTCAGAGGGTGGGTATGCTTTGGAAAGGGTGAGATTGAGGCAGATGATACACTGTAAACACTGTAAGGGGAGCAGCCAAAAGAACTAAAAATACAATGCTGTTAAACAAGCTCTTAACAGAACCAGAGTTACCACACAGGATGACAGTTTTGATAACAAACTTTCTTTTTCGTTTCAGTTGTGTTTTGTTGGGGGTTTTTTTGTTTTGTTTTTATCCCCCCACATAATGCAGTCAGCGTTGTTAATCCACTCGACTGCGTCAAACTGCTAGTCCTTGTTTACCATCCCTTTTGTGCCCAAGATTTCCTTCGTCCTGCGATACAGGTCCTCAAACCTGTGCATTTGCTTCTCCTCCCTCAGGCCCATTGATGAGAGGCACCCGGCGGTGACGGCTGACGGCACTGTAGACAACCTGGCCCAGGCGGTGGACATGATCCTCAGTCAGAGGGGGCACTGAACACCAGGCAGTGGACACTGAACTCTAGCTGATCAGCAGTACCATTTAAAAAGTAGCTTCTGAAAGTTTTCTTTGTTATGGAAGTTAAATTAATTAGCCCATGGCCTCTATAAACTGTTAACAGCCAACTGTATTGTCACACATGGGAAAGACTCCCATCTGTTGCTCTGCGAAGTGTGACACAAACTGGAATGAAGTTTGCAGAACAATTATCCCATCTGCAAGAGATAGTGTTGAGCATGCTTGAGCTGTACTGTGTATTTGTCAGTACATGATTGGCATAGATAAGATACCTCAAGATGACACGAGTGTGCCGTAACCAGCTGCTGACTGACAGTTAAAAGGCGAGAGAAATGCAGTGTTCAAGTTCCCACAGTCAAATTCTCCGAAGAGCTGCTGTACTCACAGTTTGCACTAAACATTTGCTGCACTTTAACGCAGAGTAATTGTTGTGCGTCATGTGATGAAAACAGAGAACGTGCACAAACCCATACAGAGCTGCAGGAAATATTAGATTTTTTTCTTTGATTGTTATAAATAAAGATCATTTTCGAGTCTGTGTGAAAATGTGTGGAATCTCCATCAGTTTGGAAATTTGTCTGAGTCATTGTCAGAGAAAAGCTCAAGGTCTTAAAACACTTGGGGAAAATTCAGCCTTGGCTCAGGTTTAAACTGGAATTCGTATCGGAGAGGCTTTTGTTTTACAATAATAAATCGCTGGAAATGGGAAGTGAGCTGGTCTGAGAGATGATAAATGCAACCACTGCTGAATGCGATAAATTATGCTGATGCTTGGGCTCATGTTTCTCTCTGTGTAAACAAAAATGAAACTGACACTCCATCAGATTGAAGAACCACAGATCTTCAGCTGCTTATCTTTATTTACTTGACTTTAAGCGGCCTTTTACTGGAGACGGTCCTGTCATAGCTTCTCTGTCAAAAGCCACTCATTACACACGGTATCCACACCGAGGGTTAATAAAACGACCGTGGCCAAAAAAAAAGAAAAAAAGATTGGTTATTGGGCTTCAGTGTCACAGCTGGATCGTTGAGATCTTTGGAAATGGAGCGTAAAACAAATGATTCTCAATCGTTGCCCCCAAGGTTCCACTGTACCAAATAAATTCGACAAGAAAAAAAAAGCTCGTTTTCAAGTGATACATTGAGGTCTCTTAGGTTTATTTCACCATTAGCAGACACAAGCTTGAGTATGTCTGGGCATTCAGAGGTAATGAAATGTTATGCAGTAGTATGAAACTGCAGCTTGACTGGTTGTACCACTCCTATTTGCAATTCAGGAATAAATGTTAATGTACGCAGAAAAGCACTAGCAGCTGGTACCCAGTTTTCTAACAGCCTGCACATTGTTTGACCCTGTGTTTTGTCCATTATGTTACTGCCTGCTGGACTCGTATTGAACTATTAAACATGCATTTGAATACTCTCGAATGAATTCACTTGGCTTTAACTAGGTTATTTTTCCAGTTAAGGGAAGTGAAGTATCTGAGGGATCTAGGCCACACATACACCCCTTTTGGCAGGTTCACCATCACTAGGTCTTAAACTCAAACACACACATGACCCAGAGCTGGATGATTGTTAACCTCATCTCTCAGGCCAGCCTGAGTTTAGCCACCCGTTTGACATAAGTTACAAATTAGCAACAGTTTACCTATCGTGGCTGTCTGCACTGGTAAACAGTGATATACTGTATTCCTAATGGGGTGCAGTACATTGATTCTTTTCCTGTCGCTGCACAGCAAGATTGCTTTCAGATAATAGAGGTGACCTCATTTTGGGAGACATGTCTGGGCATGTAGAGTAGGATTTCACTGTCATGGGACAAATTGATAGACTGGCAAATCCTTGTCTCACCAAAGCTGTTATGGAGATTAACATGTAAAGGTGATTGCTACGTCAGTTTGTCACCTTTGGGCCTTTTTTGGTATTGCAAGACAATACGTTAAAATAACTGTATTGTCTTGTACTTCAATTTATGCTAGAAATGAAATAAAATACGCAAGATACACTGCTGTGCAAAAATTTTGAGCCACCCCTTATTTCGGTATATTTTGCGATGAAATTTTGAAATGGCTGCTGGGATTTATTTGCAGTGTTTTTTGGATCATTTTGATGCTGAATAATGAAACTGTTTCCAATCAAATTCTACCCAGATGGTATTATATGGTGGATCAAAATCTGCATTCATAATTCCATCAATTTTGACAAGATCTCCAACATCCCTGACTGAAATGCATCCAAACCCTGACAGAGTCTCCACAGTGTTTCACAGATGGCCATAGGCACTAACTGTTGTACGTCTCGCCTGACCTTTTCGTACATACTGCTAACAATTTGAAACAAATATTTCAAATTTGGATTCATTACTCCATAACTGATTTGCAAAGATGTTTTTTCTGCCACCGATTTTTCATTCCAGTTCTTGTGTAATTTGGCATACCTCTGCCTTTCCCCTATTTTCCTTCCTAACTTTCCTTCCTTTTTGCTAGATTTATTTTTCCTGTTTCTTAGTCGTGACCTAAAAAACTTCGCAGAAAAGTTTTTTAAGCCTCCCACTTTTTCTTTTGTCCTCCACTTCTTCAGCTGTTAAAAGACACACCACACCTTGTTGGTGCAAAAATACTATCTATGCCTGTCAAACAGTAATTAGGGGCATTTCTTTCTAGATTCATCTGTTTTTGTGACAGGCTGCTAGTAACAAAGTGACTAAAGATACGATTTAAATTTGTTCTTTGCTAATTTTTCAGTTATGTGACGATGCAACACTGGTTTATTCTTTGAGCTAGGTGTTTTTTAAATGCTTGAATGATTCACAGGTAGTGTTAAGTGACTTAACAAATAGGAAAACTCCTATTTCCTCCATTTGCTTAAATGTAAATAAAAGCTGAGAAATATTTTTTTCCACAATGATGCCTCTTGTACATCATCTTATTATCTTTTGGGAGACGCCTGTGTCATATATATATATATATATATATGCACAGAGAATTGAATCTGGAATTTCCCCTGTACCTACATAGAGATCTCCACTAAGGGGCTACATTAGGTTAAACTGATTAGAATTCAGTGTCCGAAGTTCAGAGTCACAGTGACACTCCATCTGTGCCAATCCTGTGAATGCAATATTTCAGGAATACCTGGAATAGGAGAGATTGTGACCATGTTTCACAAGTGATCAGTTATATGATACTAACCTTTGTTTTCCACCTATTGAGAGTTTTGACTACTCATGTGTCGAGACCGGATATCAAATACAACTTGTCAAAGTGGCAGAAGAATTCCCTTTTATAGCCTTTTCTGCATTTTACCTGTAAATGTAATTTCCCGTTTAGTGCACTTGATTCAAGGCAGAGTTCATTACATGTCTGTCTTGAAGTATCAACTTCTCTGGTCATAGCAGAATATGATTACGACCACAAGAGTATCCTCACCCCTCCCGCCCTCCTCTCCTACAACCTCAGCTCATTAAGCTGATGATCTCATTTTCATCTTATGTTGACGGACACCTTAGGGATGCAAATCCCTTTAACATGAGTCTGAGGATCAAGAACAGAATGTGGCTGTATGCTGAAAGTATCCTGCCACTTTCTGGCATTCAGTACTAACATTCTTGTGAGGGTTATGATTTCAACAGTGTTCCCAGTCAAAGTTTTGATACTTTTTTCTATTTGTTGAAATTATTTTAATGTAAATCGAACTTATGGTCAGATACTTTTATAAGTGATTTTCCCCAGCTCATTACACACACGCTGTGCATATTTGCAGAGTGCTCCCTGCTGCAGTGTGTCTCTCAGACTATATTCACATACACTACATTTGTATGTCATCTATTTGGGTTAGGCTCCTCTTACACAGCGTGCACACAGCCGCTTTTGTAACGCACCTGCAGTTACCCACCTTAACAACTGCCAGCTGTGTGCTACCTTGAACTTTCATCTCTGCTCATTCAGTTCTTCCTGTTTGACAGGAAATGGAGGGTCAGCTGACCAGACAACGTCGCACACCTGCAGCTCTAAATGCACCATTATCCACAGAAACGTGCACTTGTTTTTACAGCAGCCAGTTATTTATCCCCTCCCTTCTGCGTGTAGCAAGCTGGTCTAAAAGAGGCCTCTTGATTTTGCTCGCCAAGACACGCGGTTTCCCCACATTTCATCACTCTCCTTCCCTTGTGGGCAGCTGTGCCAACAGCTCTTGGTGGTGCAGGAGGGATTTGAAACGTCTGAAGATGTTAGGTCTGGAGCCAAACCCTAAATTTCCTCCCTTTCTGTGCTGTCCCCAACCCCACCCCGATTTTCTACCCAACAGTCTTCACAAGCAGCCTGTGAAGTGCTTCAGTTCAGACACTGAGCAGTCTGTACTCTGCTAATGTGGCTGCAGTCAGCACTGGCCCCTCCAGGGACGTGACCCCTGCCTACTTGCAACTAAAGCATCAGCAGGGCTTTACTTGCCCAGACACAAAGCATGCCATAATTATGGTTGTATGTCAGCACAGTGTAAACTATTTTGGTATGCAAAATGTCTGAATGTTTACAGGTGAGCTCACTTTTAGAAATGTGTGTCTGCTGGGGCTCTTTTCTGTGAAGGTGTCCATTAGCTTTTTATGCCCACCTACAGTCACAGCCAGAAGCTTTGTGTGTGTGTGTGTGTGTGTGTGTGTGTGTGTGTGTGTGTGTGCTGTGTGTTGTGCTGTGTGTGTGTGTGTGTGTGTGTGTGTGTGGTTGTGGCTGTTCCATTGCTTACAGACACAATATCTTAAAACAGGGAGTTGGGAGTGACCAGAATAGACAGGATCAGAAATATGAATATATAACAAGGACAGCACAGGGTGAGCAGTTTGGAGACAAAGTTAGAGAGGCAACCCTGAGAGTTTTAACACATGAAGAGAAAAGATGGTAGATATATTGGGCAAAGGATGCTAAATATGCAGCTTCCAGGCAAGAGGAGAAAAGGACGACTGCAGAGAAGATTCATGGCTGTAGTGACCGCAGAGGGTTGGTGTTACAGAGGAGGATGCTAGGGGTAGGGCGACATGGAGGCAGAGCATCCATCAATTGGACTCAAGGAGGAACTAAGATTTTGACTTTTTTTATTTTAGAAATCAAGGTCACTCTAACCTTGCAAACACATTTTTCTATAACTCAAGAATTTCTACTAATTTATCTGGAATTTTACATCAATTCCAGATATATAGAATGTCGCAACTCAATTTAATTGTTCTGTCTGTTACTAAGTGCCACTGTAATGATTGTGTAGCTATTAGACACATGATAACCATCAACATTGTAGAAGTTGTACATAAAGCGACTATTACTGAATTTGTCTCATGTGAATACATGTTTAGCCATAAAAACTATTCTGCGTTCTGTTTTTCTTAGTGAACTAGGTATAGTTGAGAGCAAGTCCCCACAAAGCTTTAGAAAGAAAGTAGAAATAACCTGTTCTATTCCTAGACCCTTGGTGTGGATGGGGAACAAGTCTCATTAATAGGCAAAACAGGTAAAAACTACAACTTTACTGGTCGGTGAGGTGAGGACTCACATTTTAGACCCTGCAGTTGTCTTGTGAAGTGACACTGGACTGAACTCAGAAGGTATTGACAAAAAAAATAAGAATTTATGACTTTTCTGATTCATTCTTTGTGTAAGACCAGACGTCTGCTTTTAAGACACGACAGTGAATACAGTTTTTCCCAGAAGTACTTCAGAGTGAATCCTGCAAAGTGTAGTCAACATGACCAGTCAGTAACTGGAGGTTTGAGCTGATATTTTGGTTTGACTTTTCAAAATTAAGCTCCTCGCAATTTTACTTAAACACACACACACACAAACAAACAAAAAAAAAGCATTTGCTCTACTGGAAATGTTTTGTGGTTGGGTGGTACTGCTAAATTGCTTTTCACCTCTACCACATTTGAGCTGCCAAGCTGTGGTTGGCAACTAACCCGAGACTCCTGCCAATATTCGGCTCATTTCACATATGGTTTGACTTTTCCACCCGGAAAAATGGCGTAAAAAAAATTCTGTGAAGCACGCATCATATTTGAATATTAAATAAAATAATTTATTTATGTACATGTGGACGGAAAACTGTCAGCGCAACCCTTTCATAATAGAGAGGCAAACGAATGCGGTGAAAAGTGTGGGACGTCTGTTGTCTTAAAGCTGAAGTATGCCGTATGAAGTGAAGTGTCATTAACCTCCAAAAGCCCCTCAAAAGTGACCACCTTTCTCTTATGTGTGGTGGAGGGTTTTGAGCAAGTGTCATGCACCCCTCCTGCTGTATCTATCGTCTCGCTTCACTTCTGTCTCTCTATTGATTAAAGGCCGGGGGCCCTGAGTGTGTTGGGCTGCTGCACGGCACGTTTAAAAAGGCTCGTGTTTACCCTTTTCCTTCTCAACTCAGTACATGAGAAAGGTTTAGTGAGCTGTGTGTACCACTGGTGACTCTGAGCGTAAATATGGCCTCAAAGGTTTCTTGTGCAACAGCCACAACAAGTCAGCACTTTACAAGGCATTGCAGGCGACCTGCAGATATGCTTCGTTTGAAATTTGAGCCTTGAGTATAGCATGTCAAGCAATCTTCAAATTACTCAGCTAGTCTTTAATGAGGAGTCTTTCTTCCCTCAGTGGCACATCATTGCTTTCAAAGAATGACAAGCATCATTGCAAGTGTGAACAAACTTGCAGGAGGAGCGTGCAGCCGTCAGGGAGAAGTGAATCAAAAATTTAACGACAGCATAAATTTTTGTAGATTTGCACAGGCACCAGAGATGGGGAGGGGAAACAGACAAACGGAGCAGCAGCAGCCCTGACACATGGCCCATATTCACAGCCGCCTCCCACGTCACTGTGCTCCTCAGAGAAAAAGCCCCTTTTGTTTCCCAAAGCAGGGAGGGAGGAAGGTCTCTGGGGTGAACCGTCGCTCAGCTCCACTACTCCACCCGCCATCAAAGGAAAAGAGAGAGAAAGAAAAAGGGACCGGACTTCCCAACTCTGCCTGGCGTCCTCCATACTTACTCGCCGCCTCAGCACACAAACACAGGCTCATCAGTAGTACCACTACTACGGTTGTGATTGTCTTTTCCTGCAACTTAATTGGGTCAGTCTGCATCGTTGCATTAAAGACGTCGCCAACAATGACCTTGCTGTCCTGTGCACTGCTGCTATTAATGAAAGAGGTCTTTCAGCTGCTTTACTTGACCAAAAGTAACATTGCTAGTGTGTAACACTTATAAGATAGCAAAGAATCCCTGCATTAAAATGTACTGTGCAACTTTCCTCTGCAAAATATCCTTAAAATCATCAAAAGTAGATCTAGTTATGCACAATTATACCCCACAATCATGTAATATTATTATGTATTTGATTGTATTACCTTTTTTATCTTAAAATATCAGATGTATTAATATAAAAGCATGTGGTAGTTTATGGAAAAAGTATTATATTTTCCTCAAATAAATAAAATCCAACATTCAAGTTAAGTTTAAGCATGAAAGTACTTTTATTCAGTGTATCTCGATGGCCTTCTACTGTGAAGATTTTAGTCTTTTTAAACTGATTTGTTCCAGCATTTGACTTAAGAGTTGTGTGATTTTGCCAATGACAAACTGCACCTTTTTTAGGACAACTTGTATTTTAAGATTACGCTGTTTAAATTCTGTGCATCACCTACACATGGTAGATTTTCACCAGCAAGGCATGGGTCAGTTTAGGCAGTTTGCACTAATTGCTCTCCTTGAGCAGTGCAGTGGTTAGTGGTTCATTAGCAGGCTGGTCCTTGTTGTGTATAATTTGCATGTTCTCTCTCCAGGTACTCTGGATTCTTCCCACAGCTCAAAAACGTGAATATTAACTTGCCAATTCTAAATTATCTGTGAATGTTAATGTCAGCATGAATGACTGCCTCTCTGTGTTAGCCCTGCAATAGACGGGCCACCTGTCCAGGGTGTAGCCCACCTCTCTTACACTACAACAGCTGGGTCAGACTCCAGCAACGCTGAATTGGATAAGTGGTTACGAGGCTGAATTTATGGCTCCCCCTCAGATGCCTCAGGATGTAAAAGTTGATTTCCGCGCACACAAAATTTTTGGACACTTTGATGAAAACTGCTTGGATGCAGCTGCTGATCTAGCTTTAATCACCTTTGTTAATCGGCTGCACAAAAGTATAATTATTTATCTTTTTTCCCTCTCTGTCTGTTTAAATTTGCAGTCCATGGTGAAATAGCAGACGTGCAAGTGGCCAGAAAGGGATTTGGCAGTCACAGAATCCTTTAATTGCTCCAATGGTAAATAATTTAGCTGAGTTTAAAATCTGCTTTAAACATAGTCCAGAGATCCCATATGTCATGAAAAGAAAAAAACACTTAAATAATGAAGTTACAAATGACACTTTAAAAAGTGTGTTTATTCGTATAGAAATATGCTCATGTTTTACATAACTCTGTAGTTACAAATCGTAAAAAGAAAGAATATTAACGCTATTAGCATCACGTTTCTTCAAACATACAGGAGCAGAGATCCAGAGATAAGCCCGATGTTACTGTGTGAAATGTTAAGCTCTTCAGTATACTTTATGGTGTGTGCGTGCAGCCTGTTGCTCAGTAAAAGTGAAAGGGGTTTTACTAACAGTAACTCATGAAGTAGTCTCCATTTTTCTCCATCATGTACCCACGTACTACTGAAGAACGTCAAAGGAAAAGACACTCTTCCTGGAGCAGAGAATTTTTACAAACCCGCTGTGAATTCTCTCCATATCTAGTACAATTAGGGTAATCAGGGTTACAGAGAAATGTTAAAGACCCCAGTCTGTGAGCCAACATAATCATTTTTATATTTATCAGTTCTATTTTCACCCACATCCATCCTCCCTGACTTTCTTGTTCTCCTGAGACACGTTTAAGATACCACACAGTGGGGGAGTAGCTTCTGACTACACAAAGTCCACAAAAATAGGCGTTTAGCACACAAAGCTCCTGTTCAAAAGGGAAAAAATAAAGACAAGTGCTAGAACGCTCATTGTATTAGCTTTCCACTTGCTTTTTCCTTAAGACTATCAGCACTGTTTTTCTTTCAGTCCTCTAAATTAGCTTCCCCCAGGAGGAAGGCAGTCCCGCTCAGTTCCTCTCAATTTGTTCAATATCTAGCTCGCCTCCAAGCTGATCCTTCCTCATGCTACACAGACCTGCCCAGAAAGGCTCACTGTCTTTCCCATTGGTCGTTCCTGGTGTCATGTCGTCACAATCCGTGGAGTTCCAGTCTGCATCCTCTGTAGCGGTGTCTGACGACACGGTGCTGGTGATCTCGCCCTCTTTGGTCTGAGGCTGAATGTCCTTGAAGCTGTGCTCGTTTGAGTCGTCAGTATCGCGCTGAGTGGTGCTCCTGAGGGTGGGGGTAGCCTGGCTGGACTCGCGGCCGTCCTCGCCCGTGAATCCTGGGCAGCTCAGACTGTGGAAATTCCGAAGTTTCTGTGGAGAGCCAATGAATTTTTTTAGAGGCCTTGAATTCATGCTCTCAAGGAAGCAGACTTGCACTTAAACCGCAAAACATTTCCCTTCCTGGAGTATGACCCATATCCTAAAGAGGACACAAACATGGCTAAAGGCACACAGACGCCTTATGAAAACAATCCCACTACTGTACTCAAACACCATGTGGGTGACTGAGTGAGGTCAGTGCTGGACACTGGTCAAGAAACTCTATAATATAAAAATATAACAAGATTTGAAGGATACAAATTTAGCTTCCATTACAGACAGCATGTGAGACTGTTAACTGTGATCTGAAGGCCGATGGGAGAGATTGGAAAACAGCAAGTAGCCAGATACCCAGGAGGCAGACATCACTCATGTTGGCCTTTTGACTCTGCACAACACCCACATACATCTGGGAAACCCAGAACCTTTTGTAGGCAAATACATGTGTGCCAGCACTGCTGTGGGCAAGTCCTGTGACAGCTGTGCACGCTGGAACGAGAAGCTTTACAACTGAGGCTTTTCCAATCTGTACAGCTAATGTGTAGAAGGCAGGACAGCTGCCTCATGCCTGACTGTTACGGTGTTAGGGCAGAGGGACACGGGAGAATAGGAGCTCTGTGAAACCTGCTGTCACTTGTGTGCTTATATAACATGAAACAAGCATGGGACTGTTAGACATGCAGCTCACAGCCAAGTGAGTTGCGATTAATAAATAGATAAGAGATAAATCAAATGTAAGTTTTAAGACCACAAAGGAAAGGACAGTTTACAGTAACATGAGATACATAAAACCTTTAGAGGGAAATATTTGTAGGTTTTAACTCATAACAATTCGTAATGATAGTTCCCTAATTATGACTCGACAAATCACACCTCTTTACTCTCAGCATAGATAAAAATGTGATTTCAAATCTAGCTGATTCAATGTCAGTTCACAAATAACCTCACTTTTTCAAGATTTATTACCCACTAAGAGTTGCAAACATAGAGAGCATCGTGGTCAGATCTATGCATGAGTGAGTAAAGTCTCTACTAGATCAAAAGGGCGCTGCTGTTTTTCTTGGCTCTAGTCAAGCGGGTGCATTTGTCAGCAGCAGGCCAGTGTCACATTGCTGCCTTCAGCATTAGGTCTCTCAGACTTCTCGCCTGAGAGACCATGAGACTAAACTGATAAGGTCACAATTAGTCTGGGATATGGAAAAAACAGTGGCACGGATGTTAACTTAACCAAATACAATTCTAATTTAGAGTAGCAGACTTGTTATGCACACAAAATCTTCTTTGACAGCGTATCCTCACATAACTTACTGCACCAATAAAAATGAGGCTAATGAGTAAGTACTGCCTGCGTTGTCTGTTACTGTCACGCTCCCTCGTTCCCACCCACCCACTGAATGAAACGAAGAGGAGAGCAGAAAGTCTCCTCATCCATACTGACCTTGACTCTCCGTCAATAAAAGCTGATCAATAGCTCATGAGGCCTGGTAGTGGGAGCGATCTACGCACTGAGCTGAATTTACAGAAATCAATATCTCTTTACCCGACACATATCCCCCCCTGTGAGACGATCTATAACCTCTGCCACAGCTGCTCCACTTGCAGTCACAGTGAACCACGCAGAGAGTAAATCACACCAGTGAGGCGTGTGGATGAGAGGACACTTTAGAGACGCACTCAGCACTGAGACCGATCTTTGAATAGTAAGGTGACTTTGAATGCGGATAGGGCGACGGGTGTGAAGCGATATAAGCCCTTGAGCTGAGTGCCAAACAGACTTACTCTATCATCAAACGTGAATGTCATTTCTGTTGAATCTAAGGCAACTACACACTTCATACTTTAAATATAACATATTTAGTCCTTTTTTCAATGAAATCACTTAACCTATAAAATGTAAATAGGTTTAAGTGAAAGCTTGTTCCTCAGAACCAATTAGAGCAATAACGACAATTAAGGGTTTATGAATAATGGGATTGTTGCAGTTAATTCAGGCTGGAAACTTGAACATTTCCCATTTTTCCCTCTGAAATTCCAGTTGCAGTTCCTTGTGTGGATGCCTGCTGTTTCCACCCGTCCACCACCTCAACATCCACCTGTAAGCAGCTTGAGTGATAAACCTACGTGTCAAACTCTATATTCTACTGCTGTAATGAATCATTTAGAAAAGACTGAAGTTCATCTGCGTAACTAGGCTAAAAGTCAAATGATATTTTATCCCTCTCATGCTAGTCATTTGGAAGTCATTTCCTCCAGGGTTTGCCTTACGCCAGTCACTTCAATTCAAAAGAAAGTGAAGCAACAAAATTTACCGATCACTGGAAGCTTTTTTTGTTTTTTTTCTACCTGTCAGAGTTGTGCCTTTTTAACAGAGACAAAGAGCAGCAGGGAAGATCCAAATCTAAGCACCCTGAAATTTCTCTGCCTCATCTAAGGTTGTTTTCGCCACGCTGACCTCGTTCCTGCTTGGAGCGCGTGCGGCGTCTGTTTGTCGTGTCACAGCAGCGTTGTTGTTAAGACACTGCTGAACTCTGGGTGACTTTCTCACAGGGGCCAAGTCCAGCTCCAAGTTTATGATCCAGCCAGTGAATGTGTGAAACTTCACCGTGTGTGTGCGTGTGTGTGTGTGAGCTCGAGGGGCAAACAGACAAACGCCTGCCAGGATGTCCAGATAAATCCAAATTTCAGAAGCGACCAACCGAAGCTAATCATTCCTCTAGTAATTCCTGCTTTGATCAAATTATCTTTATTCAGTAGCACATTTAATGGGGCTACTTTTCTTCAAACTCTGTGAGTACAAGCTCAGATAATCGAATGTGACCCTGAATAGGCTTGCATGAATTAACAATTGCCTTTAATGACAACGCCTGAGGGAAACAATGGAGTGACCTTAACCATAAGTGTTTTGTTTATCCGACACATAAGGAGAAAAATGCTTGTGACTGACACTGATTGACCTCGCAAAGCTTCCAGCTGGTATGACCATTTCCTGTAATCCTCCTCCTTGAAGTCATGGGGTTGTGGCGAGTTTAACAGATAAATAAATGCCACATAAAAACGCCAATGGAAAAAGCTCCTAATAAATTATGACTGGCTCAGTTTCAAAGTTAATACAGTGTATTAACAGACAGCATCTTGAGTGCAACGTGTTGTTAAATGGAAGAGGTAAACTGGCAGGTTTTTAGTATTTAATGTTTCTTCTGTCTAAATAAAGAAAAATATTATATTATCATCTGATCTACATGTTAAATACCAACCTGTGTCATTTTTGCCAGATCCAGTGAAGGCCTCTGTTTGTGTGTGTCATCTGGTCTCCTGCGCTTCACACCAGTCTTCTTCTCATTGAGGACGCATGGCTGTGAGCGACTACGGGGAAGACCCCCCTGTCCTCCACGGCGTTCCAGTTCTGGAGTGGAGTCGGGGGAGCTGGGAGGTGACGGTCCACGAGGCTCAGGGAGACAAATTTGTTCATGAGAGAGGTAGAGGGGCTGCGATGAAGGGTCGGAGGACAGGGGCACTGAGGAAGAGGAGGAGGGAGTCAGGCTGGTGAACGCAGAAGACCATGGAGGGCGCTGGGTGAAAGACGGCAGCTCAAGGGTGTTGGATCGGGCAGGCAGGCTGAAACTGGAGCTGCGCTGCATGCCCGCAAAGCCACTCTGCATGTTTCCAATACTGCTGCGTTGGACGCTTCCTCCACTGTGGCACCTCCGTTTTTCCACAGCTGTCCACACGCGAGAGCCCTGAGGACGCCAGGAAGAGCGACAACCACTGAGCTCGTCTGAGCAAGACAGGGACCGGCACTGTCGTTTGCTGGGGGGAGCGGTGGAGTGCGAGGCCTCAGTTAGGCTTAGGTCCTGCAACAAGTTAGTGATTGTGCTTGAAGTGGAGCCAACATCCCAGTCCCAGTGGGCAGAACTTGTGTGCACTTCTGGCAGAACATCCCACAGGCTCTCCAGGCTGGTTCCAACTGGCCTCCGCTGTATGGCACACCTGTGACCCATGTCCCTCCACCGGCTTGTGTCTGCAACAAACAGACCACATTTATATGAATGAAACTGCCTTTAAAAAACAAAAGACACCCAAACACAATCCCACCTACAATATGGGAAACAATGTAAGGGCTAAACTTGAACTGAAAGTGTGTTGATCAATCAACAGCTGCCCACAGATCTTAATGCAGTGTTCAAACTCCAGTGCTAATCTGTTAGTTTCCCTCTTTTTTCCCTTCAGTCTCTTCAGCAGTTTTCAACAACAGCTCTATACTCATGCAGGACTGCAAATTTACTCCCTAGTGTCAAATTTACACAAAGATTTTAAAAATATATTAAGATACAATTAAAAATCCACCATTATACACCCCTGCAGCACTGTGCAAACTCCTTTAGGAGATGAATCTCAAACAAAGAAAATTGCTTTTAGCCCTAGGTACTACAATTGTTTAGTACCCGCAACTTATGCAATGCATAAGCATGGGTGTCACCATGTGTACTTTGTGTTGACACTACTCACTGCTTTGTTTAATTGGCACTAAAAATAAATACTGCCCTGCAGCCACTGCTTTAGCGTCACCGTCTGTAAGTACAGCTGATTGGAAAAGGGAATGGAGCTCAACGTCCAACTGACTCAACATGCCTGAGCAAATGTCAATAAGCTTCTAACTACAGCTTTTCATCTCTTCGTTGAGATTTGCAAGAGCGATGCATCAGACCAGCTCGGTATTTGCAGTCAATGGTCAGATATTCTCCGAAACCAAAGCTACCATGCAAACACCTGTTATTGTCATAGAAACAACACTCGTAAACCACAGAACAGATATGCCAAATGAACTGGTTGGTCAACTCTGAGTCAGATACTAAACATCGAGGCCACTGCCCACTTCTGGTATGCAAAAGGTCTATTCTTCTTCACTGGAGATAAAATTCCCCAAAATGCCATCCACAATACACGGGTAGGACAAAGAACAAAAGGCCTTCTGGTACAGCTCTGTTCTATGCCAGGACATTTTCAATTCTTACACACTCAATGCCAAGTAACTGCAAGGACATAATACATCCAATTATACAAAACAGAGACTGTAAAGTATGTCCTAACGCTAGAAGAAAACTAAAGATATGACTCTTTTGCAGCATGTCTGGAGTATTGAAGCATCCAGGAGTGCCGCAAAATTTAAATTAATGCTAAACCCCCAACACAAAGTCGTTACTGTATTATTTTTGTTGGCAAAAACACCTGCCAGACATGTTTCACCAAACATAAAGTTACAATGAACAAAATGCACTAGACTTTAATCATCCATCTAGACCATCTAGTACATAACTACTTTATAACAACACTTCCTGTCCTGTTTGTTATTGTAAGCAATGTGCAACATGTAAATAAGTTAAAGATCTAAGATTTTATCCATGTCACATAATGCAAACCTTTACCCATGAGTCCGCAAGAGAAAAGTGCTGTCCCCTGGCTCATGGTCTGTGCCTGGAACTGTAGAAAAAGAAAAAAAAAGAAATTTTTCAGCTTACAGGAAAGCCACAAAAATAAAATGTAGAACAGGCTTTAATAATTACAAGTCAGTAAACCAACAAATAAAAAGAAGCAAAAACAACAACTACTGGAAAGACAGATTCTGTGTATGCGTTACTGGTCCTACGTGCAACTCGGCAACGCAGAGAAAGAGAGAGAGAGAGAGCATTCCACCATAAATTCCTCTGATGGATGCTCAGCCCGTGAACATGATGACTTCATTTCATGGGACTAAGAGGGCAAAGTCAGTCCATATTAGTGGGGGAATTTTTACTCTGTGCTGAGTCAGAGCTGCTTATCCTAGTAGATAGAGCACTATAATACTCGTTTCTAGTGAATCTGTGAGTATCATTTTGGTAACAAAATGGGGGGTGGGGGGGTTCAACAGAGTGGATTATTACTGACTAAGATTTTGTAGCTCTGGTTAAAGTTGGCAAATTAGAAAAATAAAATGCAGAATCATAAAAGTGCTATGGAGTAATGAGTGGCCAGCAATAACTTCCTAAACCTGAGCAGAACATTGTCCTCTTCCTCATTGGGTGAAGTCTCGTGGTTAGGTTGTGTCATTTTATGTAAACATGTGAAATAACACACAGAGACGCACACTCACAAAACATCTGCTCACATGAATAAAAAATAACCTCTTACCGGGACAAAATTTGTGCGTTTGGTTGTTACATCATCGGCACCCTTCTTTTCCAGTGTTTTGGGGTAAATGATCACCATGGCAACGCACATGCTTGTCCCACGTCGTTACGGTAATGCCAAGTTAAGCTGGAGGACATCTCGATGAGCACGGCGTTAGCAGACTGATTTCTCATAAATTAAAGACGCCCACCCTCGGCTCCTCCCAGAATGTGCTTCACTCCTCGGTCCAATCCTGAGCAGACACACAAAGATGAGCCCAGGATTATAATTCAGTACATTTCTGACATTCTGTCGACCATATAAGCAGAGAGCCATCAAGCAGGAGGAGAAGACAAACTCCTTTTTATGGAGGGACACTATCATCATCTCAGCTTCAACTACTAAACTCCTAATGGTATCAAAAGTTAATCTTAAAAGTCTTACAGGAAATCTCTCTCCTTGAGAATAGTTAGAGCTACAGTCACATTAGCAGCTGTCAGGCTGTATGCTTTGAGCTATATGCTAATGTGGGCATGCAATGAAAATAATAACATGCTTATGCTATGTAAAACATTACCCATTTGTCATGTTCCAGTTGTAGCTTTCCAACAATTTTACAAAAATTTACACGATGTATTCAGCTAAGTAATCAAACTATAACACAAGTAAATGTCCTCGTGTCAGATTCAAACCCAAACCTCTGCATTAGTCTTACAGCACATAGGTCTCCTGTTTTACCCAGTGATCTAAACCAATCCCATAACATTTTGTAAAAACCCAATAATTCTAATTCTACCACACCTAGAAGCAAAACTTAAAAAGTGGGTCAGGGCTTTCCCCGCCTGATCACCAGTACATTTGCTCTTCAAATCATCAGGAGACAATTCAACTGTTGCATACATCTGCCTTGTCACAAGGAGTCACCACAGCAGGTAGCTCCACGTTTGATCCTGCAGTTTTATGCCGGATGCCCTTTCTCATCCATCCCCAAAGGGGGATTTGTGTCACTGCTTAAACACTGAAATACATTCTCACTCTTACTGTAGCTGTATAAAATGGGAAAATGTGCAAATGTCACATTCTTTATAAGGTTTCATCTTGCTACTATAAAAGCCAACTTGTAAGTCAACCCCTTCTTTGGTCATTTGGATGGCACAAATAGCATGCATCAAGGGAGAGAATTAGGTAAAAAAAAATGTTTCACAGCTAAATCTAAACAGGTTTCATAGTCTACTTCAATTAATACTTACTAATACTTGTATTTATTTATTTATTTTAACAATGCTTATTAGCAAGTACTGTAATAAGGACTACATGGGGTAACCTGTCACCATTAGGTCAAACTAAACAGTACAAAGCTAGTTAGGATGGTTTGATCAGATTAAATTATACCCTGGGTAGATAATGCATGCTTAGTTTAAGTCTATCAAATGATTTCAATCACTGGCCTGTTAACGTTGCACAGGCACGCACACTTATGACAACCATGAAACCACAAATAACATTCTTTCACGAATGAGCAAGCTTTTAACTTTTTAGATCTAACTTGCATATGCAGAGATGAGCATTTAATACTGATAAATTCTCCAACTCGCCCGTCACTCTACACAGGAGCATCCTGTTCAACATCTGGAAGATAGATAGTGGAAATTTCAAGGAGGTCAATGGCTCGACAAGCTCTGTTTATTATTCTCAATGGAGTAAACATTCCCAGCAAACACTCGCTTTGATTGACAAGGCGTCACCTATTTCGTCATGCTGCCATCGATAGATTAATATTACAAGGTGTTTCACTTCCATGTTCTCTCCAACCTAACAACAAAAGTGGAACTCTATACCTTGTTTTATTTTTGCCTGTTTTTATAGTACAGAGAGCAAGTTTCCTCAAAAGTGTTCCATTAAGCACACAGCAAGGAATAGAGCAAAGTCAAAGTTGTGTAATTGAATCCTCAGGGGCTGGCTGGGAATAGCTGACCTTGCGGTTATCAAAACAACCTTCTTCGTATTAATGCTGCGCCATGATTACAGTAAAACTGCTGATTAGTCACAGATATAAATCTATATAATCATCATGGAGAATTTTACAACCACTAGATCAGTACCACACGAAGCCAAGTAAGATAGGCGACTGAAATAAAGTGAAGTGGACACAAGATCTTCGTACGTTGCATGCAAGGTCAGAGGGTGTGCACTTAAATGACAGAACAACTGCAAGTGGAGTAAAAAAAAAAGGGGGGGGGAGAGATGGTGCATGCAAAACAAAAGAGTGCTTTGTGCAGAAGATGAGACACCGTGGGAAACAATAAAGGCGACATCTGAGGTTGCCGGCGGTGGGGTAAAGTGTGTGTGCGTGAGGGATGTTGGGGGAAGAGCATCACAAGACCCTGCAGGAGCTGACATGCTGAAGGTGGCATTTGCATTCGGCATATGATTTCCATTACAAGCACTTACCACATGAAGAAAACAACTTAACTAGAAGGACGTTTTTAGCAGAGTTATATAAAATAAGATCAACACCACTCAAGGATGTCTGGCAGTTTTAACTTGTGGCCTGTTTGTTGAGAAAAGGACACATAAAAGCCTGAAGCTGGAGTGGGTCAGGCCGATTACACTGTGCATGAGTATTAACCTCAGAGATCTGTTTCACTGCAGAGATAGCTATGGATGTGCTTGGACAGAGGAAACAGTTGTTTATATATTACACTGAATGACTTGGTGACATACGTAAGCGACATTAACAAAGAGAAAAGAAAGTTTGCCCAAACATGAGAAAAGTTCTGACATTTATTTGAACAAAGAGGTAATTAAATTACGTCTCCCTTCCCTAGAAGGATGGAAAAAGACAAAATCGAGTCCTACATTCTTGATTCTAAAATTGTAAACAACCGCCGCTGTAGCAGCGGCTTAATCATCTTTCTCATGCTTGGGCATTTCATTTTTATCCCACAAATCCCATCTCCCATAAATCTGAACTGAGTGCTTTAAATGGGTGAGGTTTATGACATAATTATAAACATTCCTCGGCTCCATGACATGAGTTGAATACACAATTATAAAAGCCTAACCTTGCAGCCTTTAAAAGCCATTTAAACTTGTGTCAGTGTGTGAATAAGTTCTGGCAAAGGCTAGCTTGGTCTGCCTTTTCTTGTACAGACAAACCTGTAAAAGAAATGTGGAAGCCATACCATAGCATGACTAGTGCTTAATGGTTACACCCAACCCACTCACCTAATACTGCATGCACAGCTGTGCTCATAGACGGTGTAATCTGCCAAATGAGGTATCTAGAATTTCTGTCCAAGGGGTGCCACTCCCCTTCTGATGTCAAAACTCGAATCACCTCCATTAACGATGCTGGCATTATCGGGAATCAGTGGGAGTCTCTATGGTTCTGCAGCGCGATAACGCTTTATCTGAGCCAGGGCAGCTGACACTATGACAACTGAGAAGTCTAATCTCTATAAAAGGGGAACAACGTTGCAGGACGTGCTCCTCAGACGTGGCCTTCCATCACATGCAAACAGGCTGCTGACTGACTGCAGCAAAGACTGCAGTGACAGCAGCCAAGTCTGCAGTGACAGCAGCCCTTCTGAAACACAACAATAAGCCGCCTTGGGCAAGCTGATGGGACTCCACGCTTCCTTTGTGGTCACTAGAAGGCTTTCAACCATCGCAGCTTCAGGTTGTCAGAAACAGAAAGCTATGGCACAGTGTAAATGAGATAGGACACGACAGGAAACCACAGAATTGATTGGGTCAAGTTAAAGCAAATGTCTGCTTTAAAGTCAGCCAAGGTCTCAAAACCTCCAGATACCCTACTGTTTTTTCTATGAAAAAAGAAAAGAAATGACACTTTTTTTTTTTACTTAAACTGGGTTTGCACATCTAAAATAAGTGCACCCCTGTTTCGTCAATTTGAACAGCTTTGCCATACATGACTTACGGTGTAATCCCATGGGTTGGGCCACCATTATATAAGGATTTAGCAGCTTTGTGTCTGATGGGCAATCAGAGCTAATACTAATCCATCTATATAGCACTTGGACAGCTGGTGGAAAACAACACAGATATGATTGTTTTAGCCCCAAATCAAGTGTATAATACACTTCTAAACTACTTATAAGATTATTATGTACCCATTTGAAGGATATCGCAGTGCTTAAATTTAAAGCTCTCGTCTGGGTACACTGATACACAAACATCTTGTGATGGCGAGGATGTCAAGCTAAATTTCCACGCATCCTCTTTTGATGTGCACAAAAGAATGGCAGCTGGAGCTGTGTCCTGCCCTCAACAATCCCAGGATTGTGGCCATCTCAATAATCTGAGCATCTGCTGAGCACCTGAGATGGCCAGACTTAAAAACGAACTGAGGGATTTATGCTGCTCTTCATGACTGCACCACTTGTGAAAGGAATGCTGGGTAAATGCCTGGCTGTGGCTCTCTGCAGAAACACTCCCTTGGAAAGAATATGCATGTTCCTAAAAAGCTTGTTTCCCCAAGCTGTTGGCACTGATGTTGTTCATCTTTGGGCTGCATGCAGGCCCCATATTTGGACTCGCATTTGAACAGTCTCTAATGACATGGTGGTGTTTGAATTAATATAGCTAGTGATACTACATCATAGACCAGATATGTGAATGACATAGTGTCAAACTAGTGTTGCGCTTTTGTATCTGTGGATGTGCTGGAACATACATCCAAATTTAAAACAATATCAACATGCAGAATTCTTACTATGAAATTCAAGATTTTGAAACCTGAAACTTTCTTTGTTGGTACTCTCATAAGCTGGTCTCACAAAGGGCAGGTGCTACTAAGTACTGTCACGGCTGACTGACTGAAATGAAATTTATGAAACTCATTGTAGGAGGCAGGCTAGCCCACAGCTGTCTGCATGTTCACAGAAATTAGGCTATGTCAAACAGGAGGTGCACTACATTTAAAGCAGTGAGTGAATAGTCAGAAATGAGCATGGCTGGGAGGCTTCAATAGCAGTTATCAGACTCAGTTGAGGGCCTGGGGTACAGCCAAGGTCTCACAAGCATGCAGCTGCCCACTTACCATAAACACAAAGGCTCAGCATGGCTATGCATGGCAGCCAAGGAGGCCTACGTTTTAAAGCAGGCCTGCTGTTTAATTTTCTCATACATAATCACTTGCACTGTATACATTTGTCCAGAACAACGGCTTTGTGGATCTCTGTAATCACGGCTTTCAACAAACTTGTCCAAGTTGGAGAGAAATGCTGTCCACTTGAATTCTAAATCTAGCCAAGTCACTTAATTACAGAGGCTTGAAGACACAACAACGACATTGGAAAAGCATTGCATGTTAATGGACCAAAATAAGAATAAGGCACATTGAGTGGACATTATAATGCAGGGGAGAGACTACTCCTGGGGTTTACATGCAGGAATTTATCCAACCTAAACACTGCCTTCCCTCTGACTACATTGTCTCATGGAAGTGAACAATGCTGCAACAATGGCATTACAGTACACAGGATATTTACATATTGTTTAAGGCAAGTTCTGATAGGCAGTCACTCGTGTCCTTGAGCTAAAACTGTTTAACAGTTTTTCAGAGGAGCTTGCCAACCATCCAGGTGGATGCCTCTTAATTTTAGAAGAAAAGGCCCTGAAAACTAAGCTAGTCCAAGTTACCAACACAAACACTCCCTTAAACCCCTTTTCTAAAATCCTTTATGAAAGGGAAATGAGTCTGGCAAAGAAATTACTGTGATGGGAGCTCACAGAAGCAAACAGGATTATGACAGAAAGGCCACAAGCTGCTAATTGTGAAAAATAAATATTACACATGCATGTACAGAAAGTAAAAAATAAATACATCTGTACTTCAAGGACAAGCCACCTAATGTAACCCTAATAAATGATACAAGCCACCTATAAATTTTATCAGACCCAATTATAGCTATGGGACACAGCCAGTAGTTCAGGTTTAACAAGTTAACAAGTTCTTGTGTTTATGATCCCAACATCCACTTAAATTGCAGAATCTGTTGGACTGTGTATCAGCCAGTCCTGACTTCATACCCGAGGGTAAGGTTGGTAAGATAAAGATAAGAAAAACAGCATAGAGTGTAACTACACACGGATCTGAGAAATAGATGGGCCACCAATGTCCCACCAGCAAATAAATACCTGTAAAATGTATTTTAAAAGTCTTATACATTTGTCACTAACTAATCAACACTGACTTCTTTTGCAATGCGTGAGGGAAAATCCAGTATGAGATCAGAATGTCTGGACTTCAAAGTCACTTTACAAATGTATGTGGATGAATTTATACTTACTGTCAAAAATGCTGAGTGGATGAATGGACAAACTTACTATTATATCTTTTTTATATATATAATTATTATAAGTCCCTACAATATTAAATCACAAATTATAGTGACAAAACATAAATATAATAAGCGGCAGAAGACAAAATCATTTACAGTAGAATTTATGCAAGTAATAACCTAGGCAAAACACAAAAAGGGCATGGCTAAGGCAGTACACAAGAGGAAAAGTTGCTAAGCTAACTAACTACTACTTTTAGCTATGTTTTGTTTTCACCGACAACACTTTGCTGGGAGTTACTTCTAATGTGTCACCATAAATATTACATTAACAGAAACCACGCACTTTCAAAACACAGAGGAACATCGCACCTCACTCTTTATGACATAGTAGTAACAGATTCAAAGTTAGCTAAGCCAGAAAGTTTTTTTTTAGACTAAAAACTGCCACTCACAATCATCACGGTGAGCGTCTCGTATCTTCAACAACCACCGGGCAACTGGTTAGTTTCGGTTGACCGTGTTGAGTTTTGTTTTACTAAAGAAAAAAAAGAACAGGAAGCTTACTTCAGCTCAAGGCAGCTCCTGCAGACTACAACATTAACCCAGTGCTCTACTGTCCAACAAGACTGCACGCTAATGAGCCTGTGACAACATACGCGAGCCGTACCACTTTGGGTAGGGGCGAGGGGTGTCCCACGAGTTATTTATGCTACAATCTTTTTTAGTTTTCTCATATTCTTTGCGTTTCTTTAGTTTATTTATACCTCATACACAATTCAGTCGAAGCTTGTTATGGTAGAAATGAAAATATTATCCTCTGATGTTTTTTGTAAAAGAGACCACCCCGCGCCTACAACTAATGGTCTGAGCAACCCTGTTGTAATGAAAAGTAATCACAGTTTTGATCTGAGCATATAGACAGGGTACTTTCACAATACACAGCAGTGTAACATGATAACCTACCGAGTGCGTGTGACTTACAGACAGGGTGAGGGAGTAAAATGCATGTTCTATATACATAGCTTGTTCCACCTTACATTATCAGTTCCAGTACAGCACAGGCCAATCCTGAATAAATAGATTTATTGCAAGCAGATGTTCTTCCAGGAACTAAATTCAGTCTTTATCATGACCTACAGCAGCAAAGCCATACAAGTTTAGCTTTTCATACATGCACACACAAACGCTGTGCAGCTGGTGTATATGTGGTAACCTGCACACAATATTTGCTTGCCTTCTAACTTCTTAAACATATAAAACAGACGTGTGCTTGTGGTCGTTGTACACTTTTATCAGTTTATTTAAACAAGTATTTTTACAAGAGGTGGGTATCTCACCTTAAAGTTGGTTTAGCTCACTGTTTGTTTAAATATGGGTCCACTGGATGAGCCAGTGGCAATTCAATTCATGAAGTCCATGCTTTTTCTATGCATTGTTAAAGGACTGCAAATTATCATCCCTGTCCCATAACATTATGTACAGTAAATCAATATATTTCCTAGGAGCTGGAATTAATATAGTGGGCCTCAGAAGGGTGGGGAGCTGAGACTCACCCCTGGCAGACACTATTGTTAATCAAGGAGTAACATCTGTTGTGTGCCTCTAATCTCCCCCAGACTGTCAGGCTGTCCTCCTCGGTTTTAGACTGTCTGCCTTTTGTGTTAAAGGGCACCCAGGATTTGTCTCTTCTACTATCCGGGCTAGAGTTTTGGGGTTTTTCACAAAATCCCTATAGAGAAGGTATTTAGCAAACAGATAATAAGACAAACTTTTGGCTTTTCTGTTTCATAGCATTAAAAGTCACTCTTTAGGAAGAAAATACCTTGCAGAACAGGGGTGGAAGTCTTCCTGTTCAACAGGTTTGCTAGTGTGTGTTGTGACTATCACAACCAGGGGGCAGTGTGCACCAATTATAGTGTGGGAAAATGCTACAAAAAGTAACCTGGAGTGTGTTTGCTGATGTAGCTACAAATTATGGTGTTTTTGCATATTTCTTTATGATTTTTGTTAATAAATCTGTAGCTAGCATATGGTTAACAGTAAATGGGGAGTTATCTTCCAGCTCCATTTACTGAGACCCCATGCAGAATGCTATACACCATCTGGGGTTCACACTGTGGCTGGAGACAGATGGCTAAAAGACTCCTGTTACAGGAGCCATCCCTTCTCAACTTTAATGAACAGTTAATCCTCTCTATCACACAGCATAATTTCCTATTATATCAGATAATTTGAAGCAAATGTAATTAAAATTAAACTTTAGAAACTCGTGCCATAGCACAGCCCAGTTCCAGTGGTGAATGAAGAAAGGGGAGTGCATCTATTTTGTATGTGCTGCTTTGGTTTGCTTGTTATGTAATCGAAAAACATAAATCCTTAATACAGAATCAACATTTTTAAAATGCAGTTTGCCTGAGCAGGTGACCCCTGATTAAAGGAAAAACACTGACACCATTTGTCAAAATGCAGAAGTACATTCATTTCATAAATTGCCTGTTGCTGAGTTTTTATGTTTTGTTTTTACAGTGACTCTCTTGTGTACTCAGTAGGATACTGTAACTACAGACAGGGCATAAAAAGAACATATGGCTTTCATGGAAGTCCATTAAACTTCACTGCTTCTCATCTATCCCACTAATCCTCATCCATAATGTTTATAGCCAAGTTAATTGAACTGGCACATCTCTGTGGGATTGGAGATCCCTTCTAAGAGGTTCTAAAGCCACTTTTTTTTTGCCAAAGCATGCACATTGCTAAAACCACTACGGCTTCTGAAAGAGGTGCAGCTGTTTGACCAGTAACAGTTCTTTAAGTGACTGTGTGGGTGGGTTATTTAGGGGAAAAAAAGGGCCAAAGAGCCTAGTTTAATTTTCCACCAACATAATGCTTACATAATGAAGTGAACAGCAAATAATAGTTTGGGATACATTTCTACATTACGAGCCAATGAAGTGGTCACTTTTTCTCATATGGACAGTGACTTTGACTAAGTGATGCTAATGCATTAAATCAATTAATAATACCTTAGTATAAAATGTAAAAAAATAAATATAGAAACATTTCTCACTTTTCCTGCATTCATAACTATGAGCATTATAGTAAGCAAATGCACTTAAATGTTTTAAGTAAAAATACTTTAATATACAGTGTTATTATAGCACAGTATACATTAAAAAAAGCACACTATCATTGATGCATTAGCAAGCTTTCAGTCTTCTAGCAGCTTGAGCTTGTTGTGCATACTTCATTGAGTATATGTGGAAGTGGTGTTCAGACACTTTACATAAATATACTGCATTAACAATGAAGAACAAGCCACTGCGCCCAAAAGCATTGCAAAGTAAAAGTACCGCATGCAAGTGCTACTATCAAAATATAATGTAAGTAACTGTAAGTTCCAGTATCTTTGACAATTACTAAAATGCACTGGCCATTGTCAGTGTTTGTCTAGGAAGGTCTAAGAGGTTTTAAGTGTGCTTATTCTGAAGTTTGGCCCACACAAGAAGAAAAACGGAGCACAATATTTTGAAGCCAGCAATTGATTTTCACAGTTTACTGTGAGTCAAGTTTATTGAGGTTACTCTGGAGCAATGTGGTTTACTTTGAGACAGTGAAAACAAAGACATTATTTTACTCCTACAGCAAGTGTCTTTTGTTGTATCATTTCAAGTACAGAACACAGCACCCATTTCAACAGATATGAATACATTATATAATAAGTAATGTGTCATCAGTGCAACGAGGGACTTTTTAGAGAGTAATTTAAATATTTCATATGTTTTTCAGTAAATAGTGCAGCCACATGAAATAACATAACCTGTTATAGAAATTTTTGGAGTGGCTAACTAAGAGCAGTTTGTGCAGTTTTTGAGGATCCCTGAGGTTCTTGACGATCCACCCTCTCATTTTCCATGTACGCCTGCACCGACTGCCACAGCGCCTTGATGTTCCCCTCGCCAAATCCCGTTGCCCCTCTTCGCTCAATCAGCTCGAGAAAGAAGGTGTTCTCAGCAAATATGGGCTTGGTGAACACCTGTAAAAGATGTCTGAAAGGGGAAAAGCAGCACAGTAGATTCACTTTCAGCCTCGGGACTGTTTCCGCAACTTTTCATTGGTGAATACAAAAATAAAAATAAAATAAAATTGTGGTTCGTGTCTTTCATCATTATTGCAGCAATTTTAAACGAAGTCAAGCAGTTTTCACATGCATGTTGCAAGCCAAACGGGCTTCTGCAATTGTACTGAATAGTAAAACAGGAACATGTCCTCATTTTAATAGAGATGACTGATAAGGTTGTTTGCTGACATTGAGCAGCCATACATCACACAAAACTTTCACAGTGTTTCACTTATTTAATAAGATAATGCCAAAGATAGTTAAAAGAAACCATTGACTAAAACAATTTACAAGAGAGGCATTCTTTGAAGGCTGTGAGAGATTACAACTCTTGATTGGCTCTTACCTTTTACTTTCACTGGATGCTCTCTGTGATAAAGGATCCTGGTGCAGGTCTGTATCCAGGAGAATCCCATGCTGTGCTAGCATCTGGGGGCTGTGACCTGCTTCCTCTATTTCCTGCTGTTTTCCCAGCTGCCACAGCGAATGGGATGGGTTTAAAAAGATGGAAAATTCCTTTATTTTTGAACTTGTTACAAAGTCTGTAATTATAGTGTTTGCTCCTGTGATTACTGGTACAAAGCAGACCCTGTTCTCCCTCTGTGTGGTGATGGCATAACCTTGAAAAGTGTGATAATGACTTGGATTATGTGTTCTAGTGGGAGAGGTTTGCCTTCAAAGCCCTCTTTTCTTTGATATCGTTTTCAGCCTTAAGTCACAGTTCAGCTAGGTTTTAGGCATAACTACTTTGTTAAGTGTGGTAATATATCATGGTTTGGATCAAAATGTACCCTTTTAACAAGATCTGAAAAATCTCTGAAAGCCTGCCTTGCAGGAAGTATGAGGACGAACTTCTCCCAAAGTCCCAAAATTTCAAAATCCAGGCCAGCTATGTAAATTAAACAGAACTACAATGTGAAAATATGAATAAAACACAGGTCGCTTCTTGCAGTGATTATAGTTCAAAATCATTCAAACCTGAGTGTAATAGGCTGGAGGAGGGGAGGAAAATTGTACGCCAGCTTCAGCCATCGTGTGCGCAGTAGAAACAATGTTTTTGGTGTACAGCCCAATGTGCTGGATCCCTGGGGCCCTATGCTGCTCCAAGAAGGTGTCAACTTGGTTCCGGCCTGACAAAGCAAATGCAAACAATGATGGCGGAGATCATAAATAGTGGCTTAAATTAGAAATTAGGGGTTTCTATTACCTTGTTCGGGCAGTGATTCCGCAATGACAAACTTGCAGTCAGGCTCCTTTTTGCCAGCAAAAGGAAGAGCGATGCCTGCTTTGCTGCACTTCCAGTACTCCATGGCAGTAAGTCGAAGCCCAATGCCCTCCTGGTTTATCACAAAACCTTCATCCACGTCTTCATTACTATTCAGGAGAACAAACAGCCTTGAGATTACTGACACCACGCTGGGGAAAAGATATGGCAACAAATGCCTCGGAACAGTTTCTCACCTATCAATGAAAAACCTCTGAAAACCAAAGACCTTCTCGTACCACCCCATGACCTGGTGGGTTGTCTTCCTGGGGCAGGCATAAGTTATGTGATCAAAGTGTGTGACAGGACAAGACATGTCCTCTTCTCCCAAGCTCCAGTCCTTTTCAATGACATCAAACCCTGGCAAAAAGACTCCCTCATAGTTTGTCTTCTCAATTAGCGTGTGACACACGTTTCCCACAATTGATTTTACTACCGAGTAGGTGACAGGACCATTCACGTCCTCAACGGTGGTGGGAGGCACCAAGAAATTACAGCCCAGATCGCGAAGAACCTTGAATGACCTTTGGACATCCTCTACCTCGAAACACACGTTGTTTACAGTATCCACCGGATGAAGAGGGCTTAAATGATAAAGATATCCCAAAGAATTATTACCCTGCTTGTACTTCTCCAAGTCAGCCCGCTGTGGATCAATGGAGTATCTGTCAGCTAATCCCAGTATCCCTTCATTCAGTCCCACTCTGCTCTTACTGGGTCTCTCATTTACGACGAAAACTGCTGCTCCTTTCCTGAAAGCAAACTGCTTGGACTTGTCAGTTAATCTGGCAGCAAATAAATCAAACTTGAATTTAGAGACAAGGTCATTAGCTATTTTCTCCGCGTTAGAAACGTGGAGCGAAACGTGGTGTAACCGGCTCAAGAAAACAGCCATGTTTTCAGTGACGTTTTGAAAGGGGCGTGTCCAGAGAAAGCGGAACCCTTGATTCATAACCGAAAAGCCTATTTTTTTCAGTTACATCAGCATATACTTAACGCTTTTGCTATTCTTCACAGCTAGTTCAGAATTTAATTGGAATGTATTCAAAATATAATTTAAGAAATTAAACAATTTACAGACTCGCCATGGTTTCTATGCTGCTTATAAATATCGGATTTAATATCCATACGGATAATGTCATATTTATGTAATCCAGTTTTCTATCCCAATCTTTGGGGACATCTTTGGGGATGTGTAAACTATCCAATCGCAAATTTCTTAGCATGACTAACATCAACATGTTTTTGTCTAGTGCAATGTGCCTAAAAATCGACAAAATATGCAACGTATTTCAGCGACGTGGTTATCAACTCTTTCTGCGTCCTAAAAATTAAACCCCCCAGGGCGTTTTGACTGTTCCGGACGTTCCTGAAGGCAACACAGTACTTTACCTTTGTCCAATCACGTTGAGAACTCAGCCAGATGATTGGTGACGGAGGCAGGCCAGCGTTTATTTTGGCTCTGCTACTCATTTGTCTGCTGTCGCCGCCATTAAACAACACGGAGGCAATGTAAACCACGGAGAGTCGCGGATTTAAACGATGATTCGAGGTGTTCCAGGCTTTGCCGGGGATTGCTTTGTTCCGCCAGTGGTTAACGAGTCCATGAAGGTAAACATGTGAGAGGGCAGAGGAGTCGAAATCATTCGGATTGGGAAAGGTTTGATTGAGCCGGAGGAGGAGGAGAGGAGGGGAGGAGGGGGAGTGAACGAGAAGGGTTTGTTGTGGTTTTCGGCGGCGCAGCGCAGTCACGAAACGGTAAGATTATCACATTTTTCTTCACATGAATGAAATTATGACCTTTTCCATGACTGTATGCTCCGTCGTGCGCGTTAATCGTTGGATTTGATGGCAGTTAGCTCTATATATGCTAGGAGGTTAGCTCAGTAGCTAGCAAGCTAAAGCTAAAGACATAACTGCAGAGTAACGCAATAGTGTCTTTAGTCAGATGAGTTAAAACCGCGCTGTTAACCATTCTTCTTAGGGTTACGGATTATTAAGGATTCAAATCAAACACTCTAAAATGTAATCTTGCCAGTGTGTCATTGAATGTGCCCGATCAGATGCAGGTTAGTTTACAAACTGCTGGAGCATATGCTGGACGGAATTCTTATATCTAAACACAATGGTTTGTAATACCTGCTTATTCGAGATTATTCTCAGAGCTATTGTTTATGTCTCAACTCTAACGGGATTTTTCACAACAGTGCATCCAACTAAAGTAGTCCACAATGACGGAGCAGAGGATAAAGTGGGCCTGTGACTACTGCACCTATGAAAACTGGCCATCTGCAATCAAATGTACTATGTGCCGTGCACCGAGGTTGAGGGGACCCATTATTACAGAGGAACCTTACAAAAACAGTCCTGATCTGGACCCCGGACTGGAGTGGGAGCCTTCTAGAAGTGAAAGTGGCAGCAGCCTCCTCATCTGTCCTGATTCCAGTGCCAGGCCTAGAGTCAGGTCACCCAGTATGGCTGAGATTGCCAATAAGTGGTCCTGCCAGATGTGCACCTATCTGAACTGGCCTCGTGCCATCCGTTGCACACAGTGCCTCTGTCAGCGCCCGAGGACCAGCAGCCCCACTGAGTCCCCACAGACGTCAGGCTCCAATGCAGGTTGCCGCCCTGCTCTCCACTCTCCTGTGGATACCTGTGAGGAGTATAATGACAGAAACAGACTCAACACCCACCAACAGCACTGGACATGTACCGCCTGCACTTACCAGAACTGGCCCAGAACTACAAAATGTGTGGTGTGTGACCTCCCCAGGCCCAACAACCAAGAAGCCATAGAGCTGGCCGAGTCTGCGGAGCCCTCACCCGTAATCAATGAGCAAGACAGGGCTCGGTGGAGGGGCAGTTGTAGCGAAGGCCAGGGGCAAAGGAGATCCCCTCCTATGCCCAAGAGGGAAGATCATGTCACTATGGATTTCCAGAGGATAGAGCTTGCAGCTGGAGCCATGAGCAAAGAGGAACAAGAAGTCGACTTCAAGAGGTTAAAGCAGATTAGGAACCGAATGAAGAAAACTGACTGGCTGTTTCTTAGTGCATGTGCTGGTGAGTTTTTTTTCCCTTTCTACGTTACATGTAATTTCTGCATCGATTACGAGATCAGTTGGTTCATAGCAAATGAATGATGTGAAAATGTGCTTGTTTCTTAATTTTGTTTAAAAAGAATACACTCCCCTATGTCATGTTTTTCTTATAACAACACTTTTTTTGTGTGTGTCTGTGATGTCATGCTAAGCGACAGCAAAGCATTGTACTCCAGACAGAGGTGGCAGTTATTGTCCCCAATGCAACACATTTTCTGTGTTATTACATTGCAGATGGTGCATCACTCTGCAAAGTGCCAAGGTTGCACAGCACTAAGAGCCACTTTGTATTTTATAAATGAGTGACGGCATGACTCATTGTTTAGTCTCCAAATATTAGAGTACAGAAGAAATTCCTGCTGTGTTATTTCATAGGGCGGTGCCATCAGGTAAATACTGCTGACTGCAATGAAAAAACCATAAAATGTGGTAAAAGGGAAAGTAGGAATTTGGTCCAACTCACCACTGATGTTCCCAGTGCTTTTACTTGGGCTCTGAGAGCATCTTTGAGCAACTGAGAGGGTGTGAGTGCTTCCCAGCTGGTGGGGATGAATGGGCCGTCTGGGCAGCGTAGTGCAAGTGCAGCCCATGGAGCAGAGAGTCTCCTGGCTCACAGTCAATAGACCCTGTAAACAGTGGTGCGTATGTGCTGAACAGAGCCCCCCAAGAGGTAAAAATAACATTGACAGGATATTAAAAACAGTCAACAAAAAACAGAAGGAAAAAAAAAAACATGAGTGCAGCACATGATCAACGTCCCCTTGACCTTTGCACTGATTGAACTTGGCAGTATTTTTTTTTTTTTTGGTCGTTTTCTTTTTTCCCCTCTCCCTACCGCTGTCCTTAAAGACATGGGAAGACTCATGTATTAACTGTAAATATGGCTGAGCCTTTTTTCTTTTCTTCTTCTTACCATGTCTCTGACTCTTTACGGATATACTGCATGTGCTCTTCAAAGTGTTTGTCAGTGGAGGAAGTGCCTGAGTCGAGTATGTTATGGCCAAGCACTTCCTCAGGTCTGAAAACACGATCTCACTTCACTTTACTGTGTTCCTGCAGTTCTACTTTAATGTTTTTTGTGCTCCGTACAAGAGCCAAAATCAGATGATTCCCATTGATTGTGCTTTCCCACAAAAGGAAGCGGACATGTTTTTGTATTATGGTTCTTTTGTTTCAGTGAAAAACCTAACTGGTGTCTCTTGCTGTTGCCGCTCTGTTTATATTTCGATGCGGTTCCTGATAATGTGGTGTGGGAGAAAAAAACATTATCAAGGACCTCTGTTTGTTTTGCTTTCAGAAGATTAAATTAATCTCGACGATGAACTGAATTTTTCAGATGATTCAAAAAATGCAAGCCCACCACTTTGTAGTACTTATGGTGAGAGATATCGAGAAACAAACACAAACAGACATTGATTTCATTTGTTCCAGCACATTACTTTTAGATAATCATAGGTTACTGTGGAGCAGCTGATTGAGAAACAATGTCAGACTGTGTATTTGTTAAGCGCAGACCAATATTAGCTCAAAGTCTTTCACAACCTGCATGATGTGCATTGATCAGACTGTAGGCACTGCTGGGATCAGACATGCTCTCATGAAGCTGACCTTGTCAAGCATGCAAAGGCAAAATATTCTGACATGTTAGTTCACTGAGGGCGTAATGAGGCGTTCTAGTTGGGATAAAACCACAAACCATCATGCCTAAAAACCTCTATGACCCATCTCTGGGTGATTGGGTCATTATGGGGACGAATATTACATAGCCTAATCTTTTAATGGGTTGCAGTTGCTAAAACTTAAATGTCTTCATTTACATTAAATGAAAGGACCCATACAGCGCTCCGAAAGATAAAATACTGGTTAGGGCTGCCACAAACCATTATTTTGATAGTCGACTAGTCACCGATTATTTTTGCGATTAGTCAACTAATCAGATCATGCATTTATTGGACGTAAAACGTACAGCTTATTGCACTAGCATGCATCTGCTCTTATATAACTATCATTAGCTTACAGCTTTAAGTGTTTATGGTATGTGCTAACTAAAAATAAAGACAAGATGATAGTTTATTAAATTTGAATGAAATTTGCAGATACGTTCACACTGCAGGTCTTATTGCTCATTCCGATTTATTTTTATTTTTTTTATTTTTTGATCAAATCTGATTTTTTTTTTTTTTTTTTTTTTGGTCTGCGTGTTCACACTACAAATAAAATGCGACAGCAAACGCGCTCTAGTGTGAACGCTCAAAGTGGCCCGCATGTGCAAAAGAAGACTTCACACACAACGCGCTTTGTTTAAACCCAGACCAAACAGTATTGTTTGACAGATGGCCGTTAATATAAAGACTTCGGACTTTACGTTTCCCAATTTTTGCTTTAAGCTATTTTGTTATTTACATAATAATGTAAATAACCTAATAATTATCCTTATTGCTGTTTTAGAGGAGCGGTGCTTCAAAGGATAGTTGCAGATTTCTGTCAGAATCTGCAGATTATACAGTACAAATAAAATGTTCACGTTTCTCCAACGATGTCTTCCCAACAGTTTTACTGACATCTACACTGGATGGCCAGGAAGCGCTCGTTCGCGATGTCTTCTCGGGCCCTTCTCCGGAGCTGATAATTGGCGTCTGTCTTGTGTCGGTGACGTAAAAGACGGATTTAATGCGACCTGACCGTTCAAACAGCAGTCGCTTTCTAAAACATCGGATATGTATCGGATTCAGTCACATACGAAAGTGACCCAGATCGGATTTGTGCCGTTCACACTGTCATACCATGATCGGATATGGGTCGCATAGGGTAAAAAAAAATCGGATTTGATGCGCTTTCGCCTGCAGTGTGAACGTAGCCTTATATATATTTAACCTGAGTAGTGAAAGACGGCAGTGGGTTTGAAAACGATTTGCTGGGAGTCCGGTGTTCTCACGGACTCTAGTGAGCCTTGCCCCCGGCTAGCTATCGAGCTAGTGGGTAACAGACGTCTCCGAAAAGCGCTTTTGAAAATATGTGGTGTCTTGATAAACTGAGCAGATATTTGTGGTTTACACAGCTACATTCTCGCCTGAAAATATGTTAAACGTTTATTTTGTGACCCAGAAAGAATAATAAGAGTAATATTAAAGCTAACTAGCTGCCGCCATTGTTGGAAACTGAGCTGGGCTACGCTATGAATTCTGGGACAGAGCTACTTCTTCTTCTTCGGGGTTTAACAGCAGCTGGCATCCTTGTACATGCAGTGCTGCCATCTTCTGTTTCAGTCCGTTATTGCACTCTTAAATTCTACTACTCATTCCTGCGTCTTTTGTGATCTTACAAAGCTTCAAACGACGCGTCGACTATTAAATCGGTCGTCGATGATTTTGATAGTCGACGTAATCGTGACTAGTCGACTAATCGTGGCAGCCCTAATACTGGTCGAGAAATCTGGCATGCTCAACATGCCAATGCACATTACTTGACCATCCAATTACTTGTTTCTCGGTTTTTAGAAAGTCTTCATAACTTCTCTTTTATTGCTTTTGTTTTATATTACAAAGATTGGTATGAGTCACACAAGAAAGGTCTGGGTTTTTTTTTTTGGTTTTTTTGCAAACCTAGCTGCCTTAACCAGTAGGATATCTCTCCATCTATCCATTCCCGTTTATCAGGGACTTGATGCAGCAGTCTAATCAGTGATGTCATGGGAGACAGCCAGGTGAGAAATGTAATCTCTCCTGCATGTTTTAGGATTGCACTGGGTCTCCTCCCAGTTGGATATGCTAGAATCCCCTCAACTAAGAGCCATCCAGGAGGTATCATAGTCAACTGCCTGAACACTGACCCTCTTTTGAACTGCCATTCTCGTCATCCTATCTCTAAGGGTACACTAGTTGCAGATTGCTGATAAAAGCAGCGGAAATGAGCAATCAGTTCTTTTGGGTCACTACCCAGAGCTCACGGCCACAGGGAAGGGTAGGAACATAGATCGACCAGTAAATCAACAGCTTCAGCTTGACGCTGAGCTCACTCTTCACCACGACAAACTGGTTACAGCGTGCACATCAGTGCAGATGCCGTCAGTCTCCCACTCCACTCTTCCTCCAGTTGCAAACAAGATCCAGTGATACTTGAACCCCATGAACTACCACTGTTTTTTTTGCGTGACATTTGTGCTGTTGCGTCAGGGAGTAAGTAAATTTGTCTTGGGTCGGGTACCAGACTGCTATGATGATGATAACAAGAATTTAAGGATCCTAGCTATCATCTTGGTGAAACCTCGTTTGTCGATTGCACTGCAGTGCATGCTTTATTGGGAATCACTGTTTAAAAATGTAGTTCAGCATGTAACCACATGCTTGGGTAACAAAATATTGAACGAAGAGAAACCATTAAGCTGACCGATGGAAATGTTTTTTAAAGTTCATCACGTTTTAGTGCGGGCCTTCATATTCTGTGAGGCAGCCCACATTAAGTGTACTGCCTCACTTGAGCACACTTGATGTTGGCCTTCTATTAATGGTTTGGAAGAACAGAGCCCAGACAAAGGTTTACGGTTTGTTTATCTAAGTCTAAATTTAGCAAAACTGCCTGTATTCACTGAAAACGGGTCACCACATTCTTGAGTTCCTTTGAGGTCTCCCGCATAGCAACAGCTATTGCAACTCAAATCATTCTGCATGTATTTATAGATCTGTTTGCAAAATGTCACCCAGTATGTGTAAAATGAGAAGGGTCATGCTTGGAATGTTTTAGTCCAGATTCACTCAACTGTCCTCTTCCCTGCCTGAGAGAACATCCTGATGTAAGGCAGCCAGTTTAAATAAAGCGGCTCTTCCAGTGTCCTGTTTGCTACCTGGCTGTTTCACTCATAACAGATGTTGAGACTAGTAGGTTCAACACACTGTCCTATGTGTTACACAGCTCTCTGATGGCTCCACATTACAGCTACACTGTTCTGTCTGTTCTGCTATGTAGTAGCCCGACAGTGTGATAACTGTTCTTGCACTCGGTTAGCTCGTGGCTACATCTAAAGGTCATCAGAGCTGTCGAATGACATCAAGGCCCTATTAAATTTTTTCCTCTAGTTGAATTTGTTTTGCAAATTTCTCCCAGGTTTTAATATTAATAAATTGTGACTTGCGATGTTGTGTTAGCACATTTAAAGCTGTCTGTTACATCTTGCTTCTACAAGAACAGACATGGGGATTGAAGCTGCTCCAAAAAATATATCTAAACCATTTTTAAAATGGATTTTAATGTTGTTGTTTTTTTTGCTGATACATGTATGTTCTTTTGATTATCTTTTGAATACACTTGCTTGTTTCAGTATGCCTAAGTAATACTAATCCAAAGTAATAAAGGCTACATTGCAGATGGGTTATGATGTTTACAAAGGTGTTGAACCTTTTATGGTCAGCTCTGAGGTTGTACTTGTAGTGCTGTTAAATGGCTTGTGTTGTATCATTTAGTCTTCCCTATATCGATGCACCGCACTTGAATGTGTATGTCATGTGAAGACATAAATGGCCGACTATGCTGACATGAGTCACTCTATTAAAGTTTGGTAGCCTCTCTACACAAAATCCTAGAAAAGAAGCTGTGTCAGCAATATTTAGGCACTGATTCATCACTTTTAACAGTTGTTTTCCATTATTTTTCCTTTTGATATTTATTTATTTATTTATTTATTTATTTTTTAACCTTCCTTCCTTCCTCTCCTGCAGGCGTTGTGGAGGGAGACCTGGCGGCAGTAGAAGCTTATAAGTCATCCGGTGGCGACATTGCCCGACAGCTCACTGCAGACGAGGTGCAGCTCCTTAATCGGTCCTCAGCTTTTGATGTAGGCTTCACTCTGGTACATCTGGCTATTCGCTTTCAAAGGCAGGACATGCTCGCCATTCTGCTAACAGAGGTAAGCATGGTCTTGAATCTTTGAGCAAAAATTTGCCATAAGTTTTTAATCTTAAGAGGATTTATGTCAGTTTTTATAAAAAGATCCTAAAAATTCTAACATGCCTGTAAAGTCTCTTTATGTTACAGAAACTTTTCATTTTTAAGTGCTTTTTTGTATTTCTCATTATCAGCCACAACAGCTTATAATTGCTCCTTACCAAGTGTGCTATATAATGAAAAATAGATGCTCCTAATGCATAGAAATACAGCAGAAAAGCACTTTTTTAGAATTAGGGGGGTATTAGAATTGCTGCTATTCTGTCATTGTTTCTTATGGGGCATGATAACAGAGTTGATGTGGTTCGGAGCGCAAACAGTGATTAGGAAAAGGCACAGGAAGCATGTTGGCAAGCATAGAAAGGCAGGTCTTTACTATGCATGGGAGAGTTTGGTCCCCAGTATGACAAATGCTTGGGTGGGTAAGGTGGACCAACTTCCTCTTTTGTGCTGCGTGAAATGCATGGGAACCATGTCTCGACGCCGTATGAGTATGTGTCAAGGGTCTCGTCTCTGTTTGAGAAGATTCACTAACACTACTAAAACTGGAATTGACAATTCAAACAAAATTGTGAGCAAGAGAAGACAACAGTGTATCCGAGTGCACAGGATGGCAGCGCATTCACTCTCGGCATGCAGTGTGGGTGAATACAATGCTTCTGTTTAATAGAATTGGCACTGTGCCTGCCCAGCTTTTGATGCTAACCCTCCTGGCGTGCTGCAGCTGATGGACAACATCTGGCGCGCTACCATAATGTCGTGGGTGGAGCTTGCGGTTTTGAATTTTCAGTTTGGGAGGGCAAGCATTTAGCATAACAAATCTTTTGGGGTAGTACATTTGCAGACGTGTCTTAAGTGTAGATAAGCTAGCTTAGTTTTAGTTATATAGTTCAAAGTTCACAAATTCATTTGAATCTTTTAATTTCATTGTAAAATAAAAATTGTTAATCTGTGTGCATGTCTACAAGGTGAGCCAGCAAGCAGCCAAGTGCATCCCTTCCATGGTGTGTCCCGAGCTGACGGAGCAGATCCGCAGAGAGATTGCATCTTCACTACGTCAACGTAAAGGAGACTTCACCTGTTACTTCCTCACCGACTTGGTCACTTTTACTCTGCCCGCAGGTACTTAATGCTTATACCCCTTTTTTTTTTATTTATTTATTTATTTATTTATTTTTTATTGGTGTGTGTTTGTGCGTGTAATCTAACCTCTCTTCCTGTTTATCCCTTTATCATTTTTGCTTTATGGGCCTGTGCTCGCAGAAATATATAATTTTTCCTGTAGCCTCAATAAACAGCTCAGATTAAACTCCCACCCCAACAACCAGTCTTAATATTTGTCATGTCTGACACGGAATATTACTGGCTCCATTTACTCTGGAAGCAAACAATGGGGAAATAATTACTTTTGTGCTCTTTGGGATTCTATTCATGGCTTCTTTGTAGAATTTTCTTCTACACAGTATAAATGTCTAAATTGTCAATGTGTGAACTTGAGTGTAAGAATAGGACCCCGCCGCATCGCTCAGAGAAACATCAGCTCGTCCCTGTGGCATTATGTCTTCACTGAAATGACATGCACTTTACTTTTAAGAACACCCACTGTTCTGATCTAGTCCTGCTGCTGCCCCTGGGAGCAAAGATTATGAAGCCTTTGCATATAAATTCGAATTTTTGTGTGTGCGCGTCTAATGCCAAGCATTTCTCTACAGAGTGAATTTGGCCCGAGGCCAGCTGCAGGGCACTCGCTCTCTCGCTTTGTCTGTTTGTGTCTCTCTTGCTCTCAGACAAAGCCAGTGCCATTCACTATTGAACCAGAGAACAGCCACCAGTGTTCTGGCTTTGTGTGTGCACAGTTCAATACACAGAGCTTGTATTTACAGTGTGCCATTGACAAAATGCCATCCAGTGAAGAACATCCCCTCTGTGTGTCATTACTGTAGCATTTATGTTGCCCTCGGCCTTGTCTACCATTCGGTTATAACGAGCATGAAAACCTATCTTTCCCATGTTTCTCTGCAGATATAGAAGACTTGCCGCCTGCTGTCCAGGAGAAGTTGTTTGATGAGGTGTTAGATCGAGATGTGCAGAAAGGTACTGAAGATGTCATTCTTTATATCCTGTGTCATATTCTCAATCTGTCCAGTTGCATGTTTTCAGCCATTCACGTCCTGCAATAGAAGGGACTTTAAACTAGCATCTTCCCCGCCTGTGTTTGTCTTCAATCAGCTCCCCACCTCCTGCTTCGTCTTCTTTTCCTCCTCTAATTAGGTTAATTGAGCTCACTAGTTTCCCTCCCACATACTTATCTAATGACACTCTCCCAGTGCAGCTGTGTGTGTGTTTTGTGTTTCAACGAAGATATAAAAGGAGTGTTATGACCCATTTAAGCCACCTTAAAGTGGGCTACTGGATAGAGCTGCCTTGAGTTTCTGGTGCAGAATATGATTGCATATTCAGGGAGATGTGTTTAATAATATTTCACGATGGGAAGAGAAATGCAGAAAAGCAGGTTTTGCATTTTGTCCCTGCGGAAATAGCGGCTGCAGCAGCTGCACATCTGAAACGCTTAACGCAGCATCTGTGCAATCCCATGCTGAGTTTTTGGAAACACAATTTTTTTTGTTTTTGATTCTTTTCATTAAACTATCAAATATATTAGCGGAGAAAATAAATGCAGCCAGTGTAAAACAAGTTCCTCTTTTGTGTTTTCACTGCAACAACACAGAACTTGATTAGTTATTGTCTTGGAGTCCTCAATACCCAATCGCACATTTATATCTGTTTATAGAACTGGAAGAGGAATCTCCTGTTATCAACTGGTCTCTGGAGCTGGGGACACGCCTGGACAGTCGCCTCTACGCCTTGTGGAACCGCACTGCCGGAGACTGCCTGTTGGACTCTGTTCTGCAGGCCACCTGGGGCATCTACGACAAGGACTCTGTCCTCCGCAAGGCTCTCCACGACAGCCTGCACGACTGCTCCCACTGGTGAGAGGCTCAGCCCTACACAGTTCCTGTAGTCTGATACTTGACACTTGAACATTTTCACAGGCTGCTCTCAGTTCATGTTGCATATTCAAAAAAGCGCCTCGTGTTATCTGCATAAAAACAAAGCGAGAGCAGACGAACTGAAAGAAATAAACTGCAAACAAGACTGGACACATTAAAACAACAACAAAAAAAGTCATTCATCATTTCCCCCTCTACCAAGTTATGCTATTTTATTTAATTAGACTTTATTGTATTGATTCGATTCACTTTAACACAAGCACTTTGTTTTTTTTTCTTTGTGAATTTATGACCTGTTTACATCATAATTATATTTATTCTAAAGTTTTTGCTTTATTCTTGGAATACGAGTGACTGTAAATCCAGATTTTCAAACTGGTGTATAACAGAATATTCTTTCTAGAGGACATGCCTATAGACTACACTCATACAAGACAAAAAACATGGGTAAAAGTCCTTTTAATGAGCATTGCAGGTGTGTGGATTGTTCTGTTTATGTATAATTAAGACCTCTGGCACTTAAAGTGTAGCTCTTTAGAAGCTCTGTAAATGGATACATAAAGTAATCCATTCTATATAAGCAGGCTGAGCTCGAGGTCACCTTTAATTCAATAAGCTTTGAAAATAGTATAATAATATTCTTTTTTTTTTTTTAAATAGGTTTTACACACGCTGGAAGGAGTGGGAGTCATGGTACTCGCAGAGCTTTGGTTTACATTTCTCCCTCAGAGAGGAGCAGTGGCAGGAAGACTGGGCCTTCATTCTGTCTTTGGCCAGCCAGGTAATTATGTTGTTGTCTCTGGTTTACAGCCTACCTTCACTTCCATTGAGTTTAAAGACAGTGGTACATTTTAAATTTTTTTTATTTTTTGGTCTACAAAAGAAATAAAAGCTGGAAAATGATGTATAAATTGATGCACTAACAAAGGCAAAACGGGAAGGTTTATGACCCAAAATGTCTGTCTCCAAAATATTTACATAACAATAGTCCCTTTCCTCTCTTGCATTGTTTGCATATTCATTAGACTCTTGCAGCACTCCAGTCAGCAAAAGCGTGTGAGTCATATTGCAATAATTGTGGAAAGCATCAAAATTGCAATGTATCGCCTGTATTTGATCAAGGAAAGGCAACTCATAAGATAGTTGGATGCATTTATATTTTGCTCACTCAACTCAAAAACTGTCATTTACAAACAGCTATCCTCAAAGAAACTCAATATGCACAATTAATACAGTTGAACAAATATCGATTAAATAAGCCCTTTTACATTGAAATCATTTGAAACCGTCTTTTCAAAGCTAGAAGCTGATCTGCTTAATATCTTGACATGAACACAATCAGTCTGTTCGTGGAGCCTCTTCCATCTGGTCTCTAACACCGGGTAGTCGTGTTACGTGCACAACGCTCACTCCGCCGCCTCAAACAGGCCGATAGGTTATCTCGTCAGTACGGGCGTGCGGTTATATAATTCAACAGGCTGACACCGCAGTTGCAAGTAGATTAGTTGTGCTTGCCAACTTCACGACACCACCAGAAGTCCAAAACATATTTTAGTGTAGCTATTGATTTGCTGTTTTGTCAGATTCTGTTGCTGCAGTGACCTCGACCACGTTTTTTTTGTTTTTTTTTTTAAACAACTCTATTTGAGGAAATAAAGGTCTGCATAAAGCACAAGCTACTGAAACTATGAACTATTGTCATATATGTGCATTAGTCTAAATGGGAAAAGACAGTCGGAAGGGTCGCACTGTGCATGGTGGATCATGTGTGAATGACAGATAGGACATAAGCAATTTACTGCTGATCCCCTAAGATGAAGTTGTAGACAGCTGATCTACCGGCACGCCTGCTGAAGCAGCACTCGCTCTCCCCAGCATGTGACCTTGGGATTTACAGGCATTTAGCTTAGAGCCACTCTACCAGCAGCACAAACAAACACAGCAAAAGCTACCAAGCGATGACCTCGTCTCAGGCTTTGACAGCAACGGAGAGATGAGAGCCGAAGGATAAAAACCAAGCTTTTTAAATCCCATCCCACAAGGCTGAAACTTTGAAACCCCTTTTTATGCGATAGATCATTGCAGCAGTAGAATATTTAAAAGTGCTTATGTAATGTGCCCAATGAGAAGGAAAGAAAAGCGTTCATACTTGTGCATAAGATACTTTTCTCTTTGCAGTATGATCACAATGCCTAACTATTCTTATGCTTTTTCTTTTTCTCCTCTTTTTAGCCCGGGGCCAGCCTAGAGCAGACCCACATTTTTGTTCTTGCACATATTCTTCGAAGACCCATCATAGTCTACGGAGTGAAATACTACAAAAGTTTCCGTGGGGAAACGTTAGGATACACTCGTTTTCAAGGTGAGGCATCGTGTGGCTGTAATACAAAACGGTGTTCTCAACTCAGATCCTGAACTTGTAAAGGGTGTCAGATCTTGGGGGGGGGGGAATGGAAACAGAGTACTGACACTTGCTGATCAGTATGTTTCTTAATATTTATTAATGTGACTATCAAAGGTGAAGCTTTGGACCCTCGTGTGTGCACTGTAGAGGGTGTAGTAGTCACTTATGTTACAGCTCTGCTAATATTTAATTTAAGCAGAAAGAACTTTTTAAAATTGAGTGGAATTTGTGATAAACTGACCCCGGTGAGCTTCGCTGTTTATTTCTAACATTTATCATGGCGTGAGCCAGCTTTAAACACCTGCAGCAACACCACATGAAACAAGGCCATTAGAATTACTCATACAGACAGGCTATTGTGTATGAGATGCAGAGTGAGCACAGCTGGAGTGCGTGGCTGCCAGAATATCTTGACCTCATTCGGTGTGTTGCACTGATAATTTGAATAAATAAAATGGTCGCTGTGTATCTGTTCCGTTTAGGGTGCAGCCTGGTTATGATGGCCTGCCTTAATTACGGTAATTATGTGTGTAGACTGAAACCATAGCTTTTGTGTACATTGCACGCTAAGTGTTTAGTGATTGCTGGTGTGCTTTTGGAGCTGGAAGCTGGCCTGTCAGAAGCCAGAGGGTTGAGGGCGGGTGCACTTCTGAAAAAGCAGCGCATCAGGCTGCACCGCGGAGCTCGTCTCTGCTCACAAAGAACCGGTTGTTTTCAGCGGGCTAAAAAGCAGCCGCCTCTAGCGTCAGGTCAAATCTGAGAGTGCGCTCGGCCTCGGCTGACATTTGCACACAATTTGAGCGAACAGTTGCCGAGCCTGTTCCTGGCCGATGCCTCGAGTGCTGTGGCGTGCAGCACCTTTTGACTAGTTTGTGTGTCTTCAGGTGTGTACCTGCCTCTGTTATGGGAGCAGAGCTTCTGCTGGAAGAGCCCCATTGCCCTGGGCTACACACGGGGTCACTTCTCGGCCCTGGTGGCTATGGAGAACGACGGCTACGACAATCGCGGTGCGGGCGCCAACCTCAATACTGACGACGATGTCACAGTCACTTTCCTGCCATTGGTGGACAGCGAAAGGAAGCTGCTGCATATTCACTTCCTGTCTGCACAAGAGGTAGGAACTGTGGTTGTGCTGTAAAACTGCAGATTTGTTAATTTTTTTTTTTTAATTTAACTTTAAAAAGCAGGTAATTGGGTAATTTTGAGAAGTGTATTTTGGTATTACTGTAAATATTTTTGAACTTTACTGCTTTTTTTGGGGGCGGGCGGTGGAACTGACAGAGGAGGCGGAGCTGGAGGTGGCAGAGGAGACAAAGGTCCTAATTTTTATTTTCTTATTGGGAGTGACCAGGATGGACAAGATTAAGATTTAGTACATCACGGGGACAGCTTAGGTATAGTGGTTTGGAGATGTGCAGAGGAGGGATGGTGTTTGATTTGAGCTACTGGGAAGGAGGATTCATGGATGTAGTGAAGGAGGATAAAAAGAGGGGTGGCATGAAAGACGAGGATGCTAGGGATAGTGTGATTATGGAGGCGGCTGATCCACTGTAGCGGCTAATGAAGAATATTAGAAAGCCTAGCAGGGTTATTCCAGCTCAATTTCCAAAAAGAACTGTGCTGACTGCATTTAAAGCCCAGTCTACAAGGCTAGGTTAAAATATTATGTGTAGGTGGGATGTTGGGATGTGAAGAAACAGCAGTTGGATCAATTACCCAGTGTATTTTGACTTGTAGACAAGCTGGTTTCACCATGTGACCATGTAATAATGTAGCGCACTACCAGATGTTATAAGCCTTTCACTTGTACCATTTCTGAGTCACAGTACTTAAAACTGCATTAATCTTAAAATATGAAAAATCTACCAGTTGTATTTAATACTTGTTGCATTTCATCAAAACTCAATCTACAGTTTGGATGGAGCGGCCTTTGTAATAAAAATTCCAGTTTTGGTAGCAGTGCCTCGTGAAACGACTAACAATCTTTAGCATTAGTTTCAGTGATTTTGGCTGTAGACCAGTTTTAGCTTTGTTTTTTGCAAATTAGTCTTGATGCAGGAAAGCTTTTAACATGTGCTATTGTGAGGTGAAAGCGTGTTTCTGAACATTACTAATAGCATGTTTTGTGTGTGACTTCAGATGGGCAACGAGGAGCAGCAGGAAAAGCTGCTGAGGGAATGGCTGGACTGCTGCGTGACAGAAGGAGGCATGCTGGCTGCCATGCAGAAGAGCTCTCGCCGCCGTAACCACCCCTTGGTCACCCAGATGGTGGAGAAGTGGTTGGACAGATACCGCCAGATCCACCCCTGTGCCTCTCTCTCCGATGGCGAGGAAGAGGACGATGAAGATGAGTGAGTGAGGGGGAAGTAGAGAGGAGAGAAAAGAGCTCTTAAATCTGTGGAATGGACATTATAGGGTCTGGGAGAGACTACCTTGCTATCTACATTTCCCCTTCCCCTCCCTCGTTTCTCCAAAAATGTAAATCTTTAACTTGTAATAATGCATGTGTTCTGTGAGCTCTGTGGTAGAGAAGATACCAGCACCATCAAACAGAATCCTGATTACTGCTCCCATGAACGCAAGTCCACTTGGTTTGCCTCCCTATAGTCCTTACCGGTTATCTTGATGCTTCCTGTCAAGGTAATTATCTCACCGTGAGAGAAGTAATAGCTCATATAGGAAAAATATACTGTATTTAAGGAAATCCTGAAGCTGCACTAGATGGCAAAGTTCATTTATACAGAATTGCCTGACAGAAATTTTTGCTTCAAACTGAGAGGATGATAATCCTTTTTGTGTGTGTGTGTGTGTGTGTATGTTTAAGGTTTACAGAGCACTTGTTTTCCTGATTGCTGATCCCCTCTACAAAGCCCCATTTGATGTTGAATTTATTTATTTGTTCAGAAGAGTTGGCACGCGGAGGCGATACCCTTTGTTCTGCCCCGTTTTATCTGTTTTTTGGTTGCTTTTTTTTTTTTTTTTTGATCTTTTCAGTTGAAGTATTGAAGTATTTTATTTTGCACAGATTATACATAAATTCTGTGAGGGGGGGGGGGACATACAGGCTTACTGACATTTCTATGTGTGACACAGTTTGTGTTTGAGTGGGTGGTGGTGGTGATGCTGGTGGGGGAAAGAAAACCAAACGCCCCGCCTCTTTCAGCGGACAGCGTTAATATTAAATTTGACTCACTTGCACCTACTTACTTACTTGCATTGTTCATTAATTCCCACTGTTAAATTCGTTGTTTGAATTGGTGACGCCACACACGCACGATTCCTTTTCCTTCCTGTTATAGCTGAAGTCACTGGGTGATGGTGGATCGGGAATGTTTGATCGCACACAAGGACACAGCCAATAATGTTCACATTGTGCACCCACATCATCTAAATATAAGTAGGATCACTGCAGTATGGAGCTCTCTATAGTGCAAATCACGGTTAGTTTTAGAATTATGCCATAAACTGTATATAAAAGATGGCTTTAGGCTCGGTACCATCACTTATTGGTTAGTAAAGTTATGTTGTAAAGGCTCAAATTGAATATTTACATCTTGGCCATCATGGTGCTTGATAGTGGGGCTAATTTGGCCAAGAAAATTACACATTCAGGACAAGATGGGCCCCACATTAGCTTTATCATCATTTTTAACTCAGACGTGGGCCGTAATTTGCAATGTGCAAAACAACAGTTTAGACAAAATTAAATACTAATTTTATTAAAGTTTAAATTTCTGAATAAGACTTTTAATATTAATTAACCTTGAGGGTTCTCTTTGTAGCCAAAGAGTTTCCCCCTGCTGGCAATATGAAGAACTGCAGGTTTAAGGCACTTTTCGCTTATGTTCCATACATTCATCTTTTATATACAGTCTGTTACTTTACCCCCTCAGCAGGATTTTGTCTAAAACTTACAGAATTACTAGATCAAGAGAGGTTTATAAAAACAGACCCCCCCCCTTATATTAATTGTTCTGGGACTAAACAATGTGGGATTGTTTTTGTTTTTCATTCAATAAGAAGTTATTTCTTGTAGCCCCAAATACTGGATTTCATTCTATTTCAGTATTGTCTTCATCCCCCCCACCACCACCAAGTATTGGGGCTTTACACTTGTGATAAAGCCCTGATATTGTGATTTTTATTTTATTTTATTTTTTTCATAATTATGAAATATACACTTGCTGATCACTTTATGAAGTACACCATGCTAATACCGTGTGGACTCTCTTTTTTTTGCCTTCAGAATGACCTTCATTTTTCATAGCATACAATTAAAATTGTATTAGAAACAGTGCTCTGAGATTTTGATCATATTGACATAATAGCATCACACAGTTGCTGCAGATTTGTTGGCTGCACGTTCATGCTAATCCATGATGTGACTCTCCCGTTCTACCACATCTGAAAAGGTGCGCAGTGAGATCTGGTGACAAGCACAGCAGATTGTCACATTGAGAAACAAGTCTGAGAAGACTTGAGCTTTGTGATATAGTGTTATCCTGCTGGAAGCGGCCATCAGAAGATGGGTATACTGTGGTCAGAAAGGGATTGAGATGGTCAGCAGCATTACTCAATAATAAATTGGTACCAACAGGATCAAAAAGTACCAAGAAAATATCCCATCACTCCATCACTGATACAAGGAACGATGGATCCATGCTAGGAATTTGGTGTTATCATCTAAATGTTGCAGCAGAAATCAAGACATGCAAACCAGGCAACATTTTTCCAGTCTTCTTCTTCTGTTGTCCAGTTTGACAAATCTTCAAATTGTAGCTTCAGCTTCCTGTTCTTATCAGACAGACACAGCACGCATGTGATCTTCTGCTGTTGTACGCCACCTGCTTCAAGGTTCGATGCGTTGCGCTTTCAGAGATGCTCTCCTGCATGCTCCGTGCACGATTAATGCACTTTCACCCAGAGAAGTGCCACTCACCTTTCTTCTCTACTGTACGGGGAAATTCCCAGTAGATCAGTAGTTACTGATATACTTACTAAAATCACCTTTCTTCTGCATTCTGCTGGGCCTTTGAAGGCCAATCTTGACTGTACATGGCTAAATGTGATTATTTTCTTGCTGTGACATTTGCTGAGTTAACAAACAGGTGTACCTAATGAAGCGGCCAGTGCATGTACATGATAAGGGAGTAAACTGGTTTTACATGAAAATCAAGAAGTCAGTACAGACGGCTGGTTCTCAGAATCGTATCTTTCTTATCTTTTTTTTTTTTTCTTTTTTTTATTTGAACTGCACTGAATGCTAAATGTTCACCTTGTACAAGAAACAAATACAAATACTCACACTAAAAACAAAAACATACTGCTGGCTGCCTCTTCTGCTATTGTTGGGACACTAAATAAGAGTTTCAGCTATTGCTCTTACAGAGAAAGGATGCCCCAAAGAACCTGGCCTTCATTAGAACAAAGGAAATATTAAGGAGCAGGTAGAGAGGGGGGATCACATAGGACTATGGTTATAGGAACATTTAACTAGGCAATACGAATCTAACAGGACTCCTCAAAACTCTTTAACACCAAAAAAATGTGTGAACGTGTCCTTTTTATAAAAATACCACGATGGAGAGGATGATGGAGAGAAATATTCAATATTCAGACGAACCAGATCAGTCTTTGTTTTCTTTTTTTCCTTTTATAGACAATTATTTTGCGGGGGGGAGGGGCGGGAGGAGAAACAATATCTGCAAAAAAAAGTGTTATTCCTGAGTCATTAAGAAACCATGCTGAATTTAACCCTTTCCTGTCTTCAGTGTGAAATGTGCTCACAGAAGGGACTGGGTCACCATGTCTAACAAGACTGCCATTATGATTAGTTAGCCATCAGACGCTTCTCTGGAGAGAACTGGATGCATCGCTGAGCTTTTAGGAACTAAAAGTACAAAATAACTTCTTTTCAAAAGCTTCAGCTGCAATTACGTGTTTAATGAATGGCTTTCACCAACTGCCTTAAAAAATAGTAAGTTGGAGACACTTAAAACTCAAAAATTCTCACACTGTGTACAAGTGCCCTCTAGTGGTGAAAAGCTGTAACTCCAGCTGTGACAGGTGTCAAATGTACCACTGCCAGGAAAGGGTTAAAGCCCACTTTTGATTACTATAATTGATGAGCAATCTTTTTCTTTAATTTGATAAATATATATAAGCTGATAATCCATTTTTAGTCATTCACACTGATGATAAAAAGAAAAAAACAATATTAATAATAATTCTCTTCTGAGGCATAATTGGGGGCCTAAATAACACACACTTGTTACATAATGAGGATTGGAGCTGGGTGAAGAAGAGGCGGGGAAGATTAGGAGCGCTGTCAGGGGTCATACGATCCAGTAACGTATGATGCCAAAGGTTTTTCTTTCTTTTTTTTCTTTTTCTTTTTTCTCTTGTTCAGTTGGTGTGTTTAGAAGTGGGCTTACATTTCCCATGAGCTCCGAGGTGGGTGGTACGGTGGGGGCAGCTGAACAGAGTCTCATCGGGTAATCCCGGAGCACTAAAAACACTGGACTCAGTGTCCACAATCATAGGCATGTCCCAAAGAAAGACAAAAATACATCATCATCAAAGAGTAAAGTCGGTAACTGAACCCAAAGAGACAGAGAGTAAAAACTAAAAGGGTTAAAAGTACAAATTTCCCGGAACACTTCTTTTGTTCCCAGTTGCTGGCTGGATTTTTAGCAGGCAGCCGCTTGTGTCGTTTCACTGTCTCTTGGTCCCAGTTGGTCAGTTGCTTTGATTGGTTGTTTCTGAGTGTCAACAGGCCGGATGAGATGCTGCCGTATGTATCCTTTCTGCTGCTATTGCTCGGTGAGGTGCTCTCTGGTGTCGCCGTGTTTAGAGGGCTGGTTGGGCGATGGGGCCTGGGAGGGGTGTGTACCAGAGGGCAAGGTGTGGGCGATGGGCACCCCACCAGGCACCATGCCCTCTAAAGCCCCTGGGATGCCGCCCGGAGCCACTCCAACCACACCTGGCGGGTATCTGGGGAGGGAAAAGGTCAGAGGTTAGTGGTGCCAACACGAGCCTAACCCCCACGTACAACCGTGAAAGACAGGATTCTGTGCAAAGACCTCATCTAGTGAAACTGCTACTTCTTTTCCACCTTTTCAGGAACGTGTTTAAGAGTTACTTAGCTTTCAGGCTGAATTTTCAGATTCAGAAAGATCCAAATTAATGTGAATAAAATTGGAATTTCTTGTCGTTTTAATATGTCCAGAAAAATATGCAGCCAGATTAGACTAAACATGAAACAGGTGCAAGATGGGGAAAGAGAGGGAGACTCAACAGATGGCCAGACAAAAAGAGTTTTTGCTGTTTACTAACTTTTTACATATCAAACAATTTAAAAAAAAAAAAAAAAAAAAAGACATTAATTACTTCTCTAAGATCAGAACCAGGTTGCGGAAGCTACCAGGCTTTAATTTCATAAAGCTAGAAGCAATGAGGGAGCAGAGGTAAAGAAGAATCCATTAAACTTTGCCGTACATCTGGATCACATTCCTTAAAACAGGACGTGGGCATTGGTGGAGCATGAACTCTCCAGGCGATCTTCCTGTTTATAGGGATTACATTAATCAACATACTTTGGAAAGTATTTCTTGCCTTGCTTATTGATTTGTTTCTTCAGCTTAGATTAAATATGAAACTGTTTCAGTTTCATTATGGTAATTAAAATAAAAAGGCAAGATACTGTTTGGTCTATAAATGCACATAATCTGCTCATAGCTCGTAAAGTTTTAGTGCCTAATTTAAAGATGATTGGGTCATAATTTGATATAAAAAGGAGAAAACACAATCCTCTCATGAAAGAAGCAGCACATGTTCTATTTATCAATGAGCCACATATTTTTCTTTCCCATCATTTTTCTTTTATTGTTTTAAAAAAAATGCAGTTATGCAGTTATCTTAATACTTCCTGAAACACAGACTTCCTGAGACTGTTTGGTGGAAAAGAGCTAATATGTCACATTAGTTAGGGGGGGGAAATGGGTGTGGAAATCACAGTAAAATCCATCAACCAGAGAAGGAGAAAATAGCCGGAAAGAACATTCCCAAATACCTATAAGAAGGAAACCACGAAGCATGACTCCATCCATGGAAGTGCACCTCAGTGGTTTCATGTCATGCTTTCTGTGACACTCAAAAACCCACATTCACTGCTACCCATCTCTATTCTGTGTTCATTCAAACAGGTAAGTGCTGAAGGGGAACTACAGGAGGGACACACATCAGGTGAGCTCAGGAGGTGAGAGGGTCTTATATCCAGGACCTCCAACCGGAGGCTGTTGGCCCCAGATGATCGTATTTACCTGGTCCTGATCTAGGCATTAATTTTGTCTTGGGGGATGCCGGTTGTTACGCCTGGAAGAGTTTGGTTCACTTGGCTGCGTGAAAGAAGCACATGGAGGTGGAAATGCTGAGATCAAGAATGGCGAAGAGTGGGACAATGTGGACAGAATTTATTTCTGCTGCTAAGGGGAAGCGTTAGCTAGGCTCTACAGGAGTGGTGAGCTAACCTATAAAAACCACCGATCTATCAAGACATCTTTTACAACTGTATAAAGGCGGAGCAAACGAAGGAAATTGCTCTAGTTTATGATACTTTAGTGTAGCTCACAGGTGATAAAACTGTTGTTCTTAAAATGAAAATAATGGCTGTATTTTCAGTCCTTACCTGTAGGCAGCGCCATTATGCTCAGGGTGAACGCCTGGCTGATCCATGACCGCCCACGGTGCCGTAGTGACAAAGAACTCCTTGTTGACGCAGTTTCGTAGGCTGTCAGGGATACGGCCTGTCACGAGACACGCGTTCAGCTTAAAAGAGCTACATAAATCTGACACACTCGAAGGCTACGACTTGTTACAGGGCATGAGCGGTCAGGCTATGCAAAGTGTTAATGAGTTCAGACTGACAAACATATCAGGCTTAGATACACAAATGCAAATTAGGACCATTTAACAATCAGTTTTTTAAATTCTTTTTTTTTGGCCAGGGTGGCGGCAAGGCCAGCCCCCGAGAGCCACTCTGTGTCGTGAAGCTAAGGATAACATCAATTAAGAGGTCCAGATCTAATAAAGGCTGCCGAGGGTCTATTGAAGTGGAAATGTGACATCTGGGAAAGAAAAGACGTGCAACAGGTCACGCGGGAGACTGCACCGAGGCGCGGGCCTCCATAATGAAGCCGTGGATGTTTAGTTTCGATGGATGTTGGACAACAAAATTGAAACGCGGCGGCTTACCGGTGATGGCTCTTCGGATCTCGGTAGCTGCGGCCTCCCTCATTTCCAGTGAGGCCTGCTCGCTGTACCAGGCTGTGTGTGGCGTGCAGATCAGGTTTGGAGCATCTTTCAGTGGGCCCTGAGCAAAACTACAGCACACAGCCAAATTAATACAGTATGCACATTTTCTCCAACAAGCACATGATGACAGAATTATATTAAAACAAACATCAATAACAGGCTGTACCGGATGTTGTGGAGGGCTTTACTAATTAACTTATAAAGAAATACAAACGTAGAATTAATTATTTTTATTTTGAGGCCAATGACAAAACATATTCTTGTATATCAAAACCATCTGATACTGTAACTATTTCTTTTCCTTTAAAAACTATTTGTGTACAGTTTACATGACAGTTGTCTGGAAATATGGCCAGTGGGGTAAAATGTCAGATCCTGTTATTCACAGATGCCACCATCTTCTTCCTGCTGCTTTGATACTTCCTTTCTGTCAGCCTCTTTCCTCTCAGGAGACTCACAAAAACAGATCAGCATCAACTCCCTCTTCCCCCTCCATCATCCTTGTAACACCTAGCCTGGTTCTCTGCGTGTAAGCTTTGCAACGCGTCAGCAGCGTCCTGAAATCGGTGTCATGCCGCGTGGGACGGAGGTCCAAAGTTATGAAACGCTCCCCCGTTGACATGCTGGGTTAGCGGAGCATGAGTTCCAGATTCATCGGGTTCAGTTTCAGCCTTCTCGAGCAGCCACTCAGCTGAGCAGCTGTCCAGAAATAATCAGCCTCCAAACTCTCTGACTGCCCCCGACGCGTGAACAACACAACACCAGTTACCCGCTGAGACGGAAAACACGGATGTTAGGATGGTGGAGAAGTGGGACGCGTACCAAGCTGTTTGCCTTCTGATGAAAGCAGTTCATAGCTCAAAGCTAAAACACGGTGTCAAATCATAAGGGGAACAGGTGAGCTTTGGGGAATAAATCTGAAATTATTTCATTTACAATTATTTCAGACTGGTTACCCAGTGTCACCAGTATAGTTTAAGTTTTGAGCAGGGATTTTGATGGTGTAAAACAGAAGTTTTTAAACAGTGTACTATGAATTTAATATTCATGATGAAGCGGTTACCAGATTTTCCAATTATTCATATCACCAGTACTTAACTGAATTAATTTGTTTATAATTGACAACAAAAGCAACAAGTGTCAAGATGTCATTTGAATAGTTATTAAATCAATTCAGCAGTACTTGTAACTCATTCATTCATTTGCCAAAATGAAGAAATTATAGATTTATTGATTATACTTCAAATTAAGCTGTACACTTTCACTCTTAATTAGCTGATTGCATGTTATGACACACTTACTGATGATGCCTTTTCACCAAGTTTTGGCCTTTCACCACTTTGTCCCCGGCACTTTCTCATGAATAAAGCATAAGGAAAAATGTCCAAGAAGGTCTGTTTTAATAATCCTGTATAAATATGGTCTTTTCTTGGGTTATCATTGTGTTTGGATACCAAAAAATGGAGATTATTCACCTCTTTTTGCACCTCTATTCAAACTCAAGCATACACCTGTACCTTTAAATGTTTTTAACTTGCTCTGACAAGAATAAATCCAGCTCTCCATCTCCTCAATTCTATTACACACAGGGCCCTGAAGGATCCTTTTAGAAGCACATGATTTCTCTTTTATCTCATTATAACTATATCTGCCATTGTTCCTGCCTGTCTGTCTATCTCTTAAAGGTTTTCTGTTTCTTTGTCTTTCCCTTCCTACACACCCATCACTTTGCTTGCCTATATCTGTCCAGGATTTGGCACATGTGTGCATTTACCTGAAGGGCTCGGTCTCATGGACGTCTAAGGCAGCTCCGCGTATCCTTCCCTCCTTTAACGCCTGGGCCAGAGCTTTCTCATCCACCAGACCTCCCCGTGCAGTATTGACCAAGAATGCACCCTGACGCATCTGTAGTGCAAAAGGCATGCAAACACAAACAAGTCAACACTAAGCACAGATGAAGCCAGCTTTTTTACAGCTCATGTATGGACTTTTGTGTGTATGCCAGCCTGGCAGGCAAATGAATGTGTTTGATCTAAAAGAGAGCATCAATCTGGATTATATGTCTTAAGACATATTAAACAGGACATAAATTGAGAAGAAGGAATAAAATGGTGACATCTCTGTTTCACCTGACACCTGAAAGATCTAGGAGACAGAAAGGCAACTGGGACAAATGCTGTCAGATGTGGGATATAGAGCAGGCTTTGTTCAAACCAAGGAGATGAAATGAAGGACGAGGGATGAGCTGAAAGATGAAGTAGCACCGCCACCCCTTGCTGCTTACCGGGGGGAGAAAAATAAGGCACAACAAAAAGTGTATGAGGGAGGAAGAAGAAAAAAATCAAATGAATATGCTCAGAAGAAAGTAATCCCTTAATGTTGACAAAAGCTGAAATCCAGGGGCATGAAAAGCCTTTACGCTGGCAGGCAGTCTTTTATTAGGCCTTGGTGGTTTTGACACACAGAAAATACACAAACATGCACACACACGTTTCCACTTTAAACGCTAAGAGCCACTGCCAAATTCTGGGTGAGGAAAGACAGAAAAGTGTTCTTTCATTGCAGCACTTAAGAGGCAGCTGAGAATCTTGTGCTTTGGAAAAGACACAGAGTTAACTGGGTTAGGCTATTACCCTACACCCACTCCTCTTCATCTCCTCACATACTGTAACTCAGGAAGAATAGAGCGCGAGGGACAAGACAAAGAGAGAGAGAGAGTGTGTCACAGTGCGGGGTGATATTGACAGAAGGAAGATGCGTCCCCAGCTCGTGCAGTTCCTCAGCTGCCCTGCAGGTGTCACCCCAGGCAGTGCCTCAGAGTGCAGTTATTGACTCAGAGAGCAGCACTTTCCCTCACACTGTGCAGCCTAGTCGATATATTTGCTGTAGCCGTGGGCTGGCACTAATTGCATTTGACAGAGCAAAGGAATGAATTTGTGTCCAGCTTTGGTGGAGCTTAAGATAAAGAGCAGGGAATGTACAGGCAGGAAGGGTGCTGCTGTTTCCAGTCCTTTTTTTTTTCTTCCTGCTTTCTCTTTCTGCCAGATATAATGCTCTTTAGGACAGACACTAGGCTGACAGAGTAATAATATACCAGCATCTCGACTTGTCTACCTGCTAGATAGCACCGCATTAAGCCCACATCAGGTCACAGCTGTTCAATGGGATGTTCAGCTCTGTCTGAGTGACACGTGTGCGGGCGACGCGTGTCTGTGTTTGTTTTGAGTAATGCACCTGTTTGATGGTGAAGTCGTTGATGAGGTGATGGTTGTGTTCGTTCAGGTTGCAGTGCAGGGAGACGCAGTCGCTCTGGTAGAGCAGGTCTTGCAGGGTGTAGACGCGCTGGACGCCCAGCGAGCGCTCCAGGCCGTCCTGCAGATAGGGGTCGTAGAAGATGACGTTGAAGCCGAAAACCTTGGCTCGCACTGCAACCGCCTGGCCCGAACGACCTGGGGACACAAACAAAGAGTTTATAAAATTTGTCAACGTGCTCAAAGACACAGAGGGATTTCTCGTACGTTAACAGAGCGTGTCTTCTCCAGAAAAAGCCAGGCAAGTTCAAAAGTTGCACTGTTAAATACCAGTTCACTGATCATTTACATGTCTTGTTAACTATTAACTCTTTAAGTAGTCTTCCGAAATAGTTCTCCAGGCTTCTTAAAGGACATTCAAAGCTCTTCTTTGGATGTTGGCTGCCTTTTGTTCTGTTCGCTGTCAAAATAATCCCACACTGCTTCAGTAATGTTGGGGTCCGACCGCTCCATGGTTTGTGTGTGTTTTCTATCCAGGTATGCTTTTACTGAATTGGCAGTGTGTTTCGGGATCACTGTCATGTCACAAAATTAAACTGCTCAGATGCCTTCCAGATGGTATTGCATAGTAGCCAAAATTTGACGGTACATTTCTGTGTTCATAATACCATCAATTTTGACAAGATCCCCAACACCACTGGTTCATCTTGGTTCATCATACCATAAGACCTGTTTCCAGTTCTTGTGTAATTTGTCATATCTCAGCCTTTTCTGTTTCCCTTGCTTAAGTCTTCTTGACAACCACCCCTTCCATTGAGACCATCCCCAAAGGTTGATTCTGATCATCTGGATGTAGCGTTTTCAGTGGGTGAGTGCACGATGACTGAAACTAGCACCACTGAACAATGGGCTGGAAGGTCAGTTGTTGATCAATGGTCATGAGAATTTGCACATTAATGATCAAGGAACTGACCTCCCAGCCCATCGTTCATTCAGTGATGTTAGTTTCAGTCATTGTGCAATGCACTGTTTATAAGGTTGCAGTCAGCTGAGACTGAAGAAGTCACTTGGATGAGTGACGAAATGTTTCTCCCACTGAAAACACTACATCCAGATTGGGATTTACCTACTTGGATGATTGAGCATGCATCAAGACGTATTAGAGCATCTACTAGTTTGTAGATATGTATCAAAAAGATGTAGGACGTAGAATTGCGTCCGCAGTGTTTTCTATCTAACATTCACACTCCAGTGAACTCATTGGGTTCAGTATCTTGCACTCACAATATCATTATGCAGAGGAGGACCAGGGATTGAACCATGAATCTTCCAATTAGTATGGGAACTCCGCAACCTTCTAAGCCACAGCCATCCACCACTCTAACCCTTTGACGACACACTGCAAACAATGCAGAGATATAAGTTTTTGTCTTATAGCTCTTCAGAAACCACCTTGCCAATCCAAAAAAAGGGGGGAATAGGTTTTATTATTGTGATAGAATACTATTGATAAACTGCCTAAAGATACAATGTAAAATTAGTTCTTTGCTAAATTGAGCACTGGCTCATCCCCTGATTTGAGTGCTTTTTTATGCTTGAACGATAAAAAAAGAGAAAATAATCAAGTACAAGTTCTGACCTGAAAATGAGCGAAAAAGAAGCCAATGTCTAAAAAAAACCTTCACAAAAAATAAACCTTTCATTCTTCTAATAGTAACAGGATGCCACTTGAACATCTTTCATGTTGCAACAGCCTTTTCATGTCGGCTTTATTATATTAAAGTTGTGAAAAAGGCTACTTTTAATATCACTAAGGAAAAAAAGGCTTACGATGAAGACAAGGAGCTATGATGAAAAAATTAAAAAACAACAAGAACAAACAAACAAAGGGCCTCATTCACCGTGTGTGCTTTTTAATTTGTGCACAAAATAAGCACTCAAACAAAAGTCAGGTTTGTGGATCGTGCGAAAGCAGCCAATTTTGCTCTTACTATCGTGTGCACGTTAGAGAATCACTGTAAATCAGCAGGTGCACGCACGTTACTTGCAGTCAGCATACTTCCGTGGCCCCATTTTTCTCTATATAAGGAAACGTGTTTGCCTAGAGGCGGATCACAGAGAAAGCTGTGAAGCTGTTCTAAGAGAAAAAAGGTCACTTAAGCAAAAAAAAAGTTGTGGACTGAGGAAACATAATGTCTAAGGTGGAAACTGGAAAGACACACCAAGAGACTCGGGTTGCAATCACTGAAGCGGTAAATACTGAATCCTTGATGCACAGACCGTGACTTAGATATAAGAAAAAAGCTTAAGATACAAGTTTATGGAAAAAGGAATAACAGACCAGATTATATAAACATCCGTAAGTAGGACATTGTTGAAACAGTGGCGAGGTGACGGCGATGACGTCCAGTAAGGATGAAAGGCAATGGATTTGTGTTTATTTTATGTAATTGGCCACTGCCTTAATAAATTAAAGGTTTTTTTAAGTGTTTTAAGTCAGTTTTAACCTGCTAAGCATTTAGTTAAAACATGTATGTTTATATTTTCTAAGTCTGAGGCAGCTCTATGTTCGTTTGCCGTGCACCAACCACGGATGGATCCCGGATTTGTGAGTAAAACATTTGTTTGTGCTGATTAGGCACACGTTTGTGCAAACACACTGTTTGTGAATGAGGCCCAATGTGAGGTGAAGTTGTGAGACAGTGAATCAGAAACTGAATGTGCAGCATTCGAGCCTCTCCCTCTGTCTCTCACAGCCATTTGTTGTGTAGGATGCGAGTCTCCACTCTGTTGGCTGGAGACGCCAGTTTCTGCTCTGCAGCAGCAGCTGAGAGAGAGAGAGGGACAGAGTAATGGAGAGGTGGATGTTGTTGCTCGTAAAAAGGATCGATAAGGTCCTTTACACTCTCAAGGTCCCCTCTTTGTGATCGAGCATTATATCCTGCTCTTACACTCCACAGCTGAAGAGAATCACTCCTTCTCTTCTTCTCCTTCAATGTCAGCCGATAAGAGACGTGCAATGCTAAAGACCCAGATATAGCTGCAGCTATCGCACAATAAAACTACAAATTTTGCGATGATCACAGTTGCGCACTTTACTTTTCTTCGAGTGATTCATCTGTCCATTTCTTTCTGCTAACGTTACTTTTCCTAATTTTCACAGGCCACGTTTGACACAACACAGAGCGTGGGTGTGAGCTGCTGTAAGTGCAAGCTAAAAAAGCGATGCAGACAGCAGCAGTAAAGGAATCAATTTTTTAAAAAGATTTTTCTTGTCAGTTTGAAACAGACCAGGTCATCCTGCAGCTGCAGTACGATGTGATTTACTAAACCTTTTGGAGCAGCTGTGGAAAGTTGGATCATCACTTCTTCTGCAATGATTTCTTCTGCCTCTCTGATTGTTGGAAAATGTCTGCAAAGAACTGGGTTTAAAGAGAAACTAGATCTACACAATCTTGATTTACAATGAGATCAGTTAACAGCTGAAGTGTTTGGCATCTAAAAATACCTCTAACTTTGTTGCACTGGAAAAAAAGAATTAGTATTTTTTTTGTGCGGATTTTTCCTTTAATATGTCAGCTCCTCTGTCTTCTCTATTTCTAAGCCTCGCCCTCCCATCCCACACTTATCAATGCCACATGCAACGAAAACCAGGGGGTCTGCCACCCACTCAGGTGGATCTGAACATTTTGATGTCTGTCATTTCACTCTCGACTCGGCAGCAGATGTTTGCTTTGCATTGCAAATTTTTCTGCTGACAAAGGTTTCAGATTCTGCAGTAAAACACGAGGCTGAAGCACCAATTCTTGAAATCAGCCCTGTCTCACCCAACAGTGAAGAGGCAAACATGGTGGCAATTGGCCAAGAGGTCAACGTTTTTTTTTTTTAAAAAACATTGTTTCAAAAGTCCTTGTACACAGCAGGCAGAGTATCTCTACTGTTTTTACAAAAGGAACCAGGCGACATCACAATATCACTGGAGATATTTTCCATATTCTGCAAAGAGATGCAACAAGTGCAAAATCCAATAACGTGCAATACTGTTATTTGTTCTCTTTAGCTTTCAAATACTTGTCAGTTGTGTCTGTGTGCCATTTGGCGCAGGTGGGTAGTGCGCAATCGTCTGAAAACAGCTGCCTGCTTCATGTGGAGATGATACTGATCATAGTGGTGAGAGTGAACTAAACCTAATCACTCAAATAAACTGGTTTGAGTGATTAGACTTTTCACTGTGAGCAACTTCAAGATGGATGTAATGGGATTCTGTTAATTAAAAATTTAAGTGAGTACAGTTAGCATAGAAAAATTTGCAATTACCAGAGGCTGTCAAAAAGTCCTTATTTACCTTGCGATTGTGTCTCTTAAAACATGGAAGCATAACTTTGGCGGTTGGATATTCAGTTTTTATGTTTCCTTGACACATAATTGGCTAATGTTGCAGAAATATGTGGGAAGGATTAGACTTGGGTAATGAATTCCAACATTTTTTCATCGGTCCTCATCTGCATCTTCTGCAGTATCAACACGGTCTTTGCACGGCTAATTTGATTTGACCAACTGGAAATGCTAAATATGCAAGTGGAATTTTCTTTGTTTTGAATTTGCTTTGAGATGTTTCAAGAGAAAGTAATTATACTTGTCTGCAATCACTTTTAGTATAAGATGCAACATTTAAAAATATCATTTTTAGGGGAATATAATGTGTTAAAAATGTTGTTTTGCATTTAGTAACTAAAATGGCATTTCAAGCTTATCACACTCAACCCTGATGATCATTTAAGCCTTCATTCATATAAAAATGCTGATTAAAGGTATCTTAGATGTCTCGTCCCAGACTAACATATTCCCCAAATTCCAAAGTTGAAAATGAGTTTTTTATCAGATCAAATTTAGTTGATAGGATTATCCTGGATATTTACTGGAGGTAGATAGGCAGACCACAGCTACTTGGTTAAATTTACATATGAGAAATAACAGAATAATTCACAACTAAAAGGCTTGAACTTATTTTTGAGAAGAAGATCAAAAGGTTGGTTGTTTGGTACTTCAAGTCCTCAAGTCTACTGTCACCCCAGAGCTAGAGGGTTTTTTTCAGTCTGTGTATTTGCCGACAGAGTTGTGCAGCTGGCTGAATATGCAGAGTCCTAGAAACCAACGCCAAGAGGCCTTCGATGTCCCCAACCTCCCACTGACAATGGATATTGTTTTGGAGACAGCTTGAGCCAGAAAGACCAGCAGAGGAGGCTGGAAGTGGGAGGACTGGATGAGGAAGGGAGAGACAGGGGGGAGAAATCTTCCCTGCCAGGACCCGCTGTTCAGGCACAGTTAGTCCAGGCAGCTGTCTGGGACCTGTAGAGGAGGAAGGAGGTTGTGTGTTTGTGTGTGTGGGAGGGGGGAGGTGTATGTGGACAGAGAGATAAGGTGGCACTCAGGAAAGGCTTGTGAGAAGACAGAGCATCTGTCGGCCCGGTGATGTTGTGACAGGGCAGAGTGACGCACAAACACACACAATCACCACTGAAACAGGTGCAGAGAGGGAATCAAGTCAGAACACACACACACAAACACACAGAGGAAGAATCTAGTCTGCCAGGAGGTCTGATCATGGCAGGGCAAGATGTCGAGGGACCGTGGTGACAGAGAAGAAGAGTTGAAAACAGAAGAAGAGAGAATAATAGAGATATAATGGTGAGCATTAGAGCAGTGGGATGAGAACAGTGAGGCAGAGAGAGGAAGTCAGCCCGCAGGGAGGCGAAACAGACAACCTTGAGATAATCTGTGGGACGGGCAGAGGGTGAAAAATAACCTTATCAGAGCAGGAAAACAGAAGGCACACTGAGTGGTGAGAGGATATGAAAGCACAAAAGTGGAAGCAACGGAAGGGGGAGTAAATTAAAAAAAACATGATGAAAATAAGAGGAAAAAGCAAGAGAAGGAGCCAGAAAAAGGCTAAAAGAGGAAAGCGAATAACTGAATATTCACCAAAACCGATGAGACCCAGGGTTTCGCCACGTATGCGGGCGGCACCGGATGCCACCTCCCGGATTTGCTCCACACTCTGGACTCGCGTGCCCTCCCGCAGAGCCTGGTAGAGCCAGGTGTTCCGCCGGTAAAGGTTGAGGATGTGGCACAAGGTCGAGTCTGCCGTCTCCTCCACAGCTGCCGAGGGAATGTTGCACACGGCGATGCCTAAAGATAGAACAGTAAACACAGACAAGGCAGAAGGGTTGAAAAGCACATTAAAGACGTATGTGACACGTGAAATATGAGTACAGAGGGAGATTTTATTGTCCAGGGCTAAAACCAACATGGGTCACTATGATTTCTGATATTCATGGTCAGCATCTCAAGGGAGTGTGAAAATGACTGTTTGTTTTGGGAACATCAGAATATGTCGGCTTCATTGGAGCGTGACCTCCAGCACGCATTGCAGCCGAGGATGAAACAGACCGGTGGATTTGGTGTGCCGGATTGATGTTTTTCATGTACCAGTCAGTCTACATTCCAACCCTCGCTTACGGTCATGAGATCTGGGTCATGACCAAAAGAGTAAGGTCACGAATAAAAGCAGATGAAAATAGTTTCTTTTGTAGGGTGGCTGGGATCAGTCTTGGAGATAGAGTGAGGACCTTGGACATCCAGAACCTGCTAGAGAGATTATACATCTAGCCTAGTCTGGGAATCTCAGGATCCCACAGGAGTAACTGAAACGTGTTGCTGGAGATAAGGACGACTAGAATACTCTGCTTAGTCAGCTGCCACCCCTAACCTCACTTTAGACAAGTAGAAGATGATGGATACGTGAATGGATATTATGTACTATAACACAGGTCATATATTATAAAAACTTCAAAGGAAGCTTTTGGTCCAAAAGTATATTTAATTATATTTACCCACATAGGGGTGATATCTTCTGTAGAAATAACTGCCTTCTCTAGATTTTAATGGAACTTTTCTCGTGATGCTCAAAGCGTCAACAACAAAAAACCAAACTAAAAAACCAAAAAGCTACTTAGCGGTAATGTTTCTGAAGCCCTCATTCACATACTTTATAGTTTTATGTGGGAACCACCACACAGAAGCTCAGCTCATACAATGTTAACACTTGTCTAGCTGTCACTAGCATTAGCCTCTCATCACAGGTAGACGGATGGCCTTTTCTTGAAACAGTTGGCGAGCATAGTTTAATAAAAGAAAGAGAGAGAACGATACTTCCTACACGAAACTGATCACAATAAAGTTTGTGGATGTGTATAAATCTACATATGCTATATTTTGAAAAGCCAAATGTAATTTTTAGCATCACGACTGCCAATTAGGTCACTGTTTTCAAGAGAAAGGCAAATATTTCAACAGTGAAAATCTCCAAAGCATTACAGGCCAGAGGAAAAACATGAAAAGTTGATAATGGTGTGAACTGATCCCTTAATAACTTGGGTTATCTTTAATTAGGTCTATATTTGGGCAACGTAATCAGTATTCCAAACATCACCTGCTAAATGTCAATAATAATATGAAGATACACACGTAAATATGTAAAGTCAAGATCTTATCCAGTGCAGTGTTCATAATTTTGTTCCTTTCAGCCGATATAAAGGCCTGACCTTGTGGTATTACCTTGCCGTTTCCTCCAACAACACAGACTACTTTTTTTTCTCTGTTCTAACACTTAAGCACTTCTGCCTGTCCTCATTCTCCTCCTAATGTCCTCATCTCACTCTGTATCTCGGAGTAACAGCGCAGTCGTCTCTAGACAGCAAAAAATAGACCGAGCCTGCTCAATCAATGGCCCCTTTTTTCTTCTCCCCGAGAACAGCCGTCATATCAGCGCCGCCTTCTCCAGGCACGATAGCTTTTGACTCCTGTGTTGCAAGGCAGAGCGCCTTCGGTGAGTGGGTGGCAGTTAGACACAGTATCTCATATTGGCAGGGAAATGGCAGCTTTGTCAACTGTGAGAGCTTTTTGAGCCACCAGCCTGCTGATATAAGCCTGGGTGGTGTTTCAGGGAGAAAACTGAACTCTCCTCTTTCCCCGTGTGTCTTTTACTCTGTCTCTTTGAACATTCTGGCTCACAGCGGGATGTCTGCACTTCATCTGACTATTTATTCAGCCTTTGATACTATTCAGAAAAAATCCATACAGTAAAAACAAGGAAACGGTATACGTGGTATTCGAAGTAGTCCGCTTTAGGGACAACGACTATTAGCTCTATTTCATCGCTGCTTTTCTTTTAGATGGTCAGTCCAATTTTAACGCTGCGATGTGATGAATCTTCCCTTCAAGATTCACCTAAATCTGATTACAGGCACCTGAGGTATCGTTTGTCATTAACAGGCAAACAAACGATCAAACAAGCAAATCAGCAGACCTGCTCCCTCACAAGAAATCAATGCGACGCGGGATAGTCGTATCAAAGGAGCACAAAACACATTAGAGCTTTGCTCAGATGTAGAAAAAGAGGCTGTTACACGAGCACAGATGTGGAGAAGAAAATGATTATGATTTAGTAGCCGCTATTTAAAGAGTTCATACCCAGCTCTCCAGCAGCCTTTATGTCAATGTTGTCGTAGCCGCTGCCGATGCGGATGATGATGCGTAGAGCTTTGAACTTTTCCAGGTCCTCTCTGGTCAGGGTGATGGTGTGGTACATCATGGCACCCACTGCCTCATTAAGCACCTGCAGACACATGTATTCATAAAATTTTGCATGACACAACTGAATGAAATGCTTTTCCCTCCTTAATCTGTGTCTTCCGTTGGCCAGTTTACTCGTTTGCTCATGCAAAACACGGCTATTAAATCCACTTGGGGATACAAGAGCTCATGACAATCACACTGTCGCATTCCTTTCAGAGATGCTGTGAAAATCACACGCCTGCCGTGACTTCCGACATTTGTGAACATTATAGATTTCACATCGAGGGGGAACTACAGACATCACATGGCCGCGAGCAACACTGACACATTGTCCATTTAACAGACCTGCACTGGAAGTAGAAACAGTCATTATATTGTCTTGCGGGGGCTCAGTTCTGCACGGTATTCACAATTGCACCAAGAGCATTTAAGGACACAAGATCTGGATAAGTGACTGGATAGAGAGGTACTGATTGCAGGATAAGCCTTATGAATTAAATAGAATAATAGAATTAAAATAGCCCCATTACAAAGAAAGTAACTAATTTACTACCCAGACTGTACCGCTCTGTATTTCAGGCTTCAAAATTTCCCGATTCCTGGGAATGTATCCCGCATTTGCCCTAGTAGCTTGTGTCTCCAAAAGTTGATTTTATTTATCTGGATGTAGCGTTTTCAGTGGGAGAAGATGAACAGAATCAACTTTTGGAGATTTACTTACTTGGATGATTGAGAATGCATCAAGACTAGTAGCTTGTGGTTATTTCTTCCAAATGTTCTTACCTGCTGTACTCATGCATTGAGTAAAATTTTAGGCTGCGCAAACTCCAGCTTAAAGATGCATGTCAGCTAAGTGTAAGTGAAAGTGGTTATTACTTATTTTAAAGCAGGTTAAGGTCAAAACTAACTGTGCTTTTAAACAACCACATGGTGGCGTTGTTGAATCTACCTACCCAAAGACAATCCATTCAAGTTAAATAAAAAAGAATAAATAAAAACAATCTTAAGATGTACCAAGTGAAACATTTCCCAAAAAAAGTCTGAATTCTGTCACCTTGGACGGGGGGTGGACAATCACTGTGAAATGCTGCTCACGCTGCTCCTCTGCCACTTAACGTGGACAAGGTGACCTGGCCTGTGATGTGGATCTAAACTATTCCCCTTCAGTATCAGCCCCGGCCCCTGTCAGCGCCTAAATAACAGCTCTACATTCACCTCCAGCCAAGCTGCATTAGCTTTCCTGTGATTAGTAGATTAGCTCTGAATTTCCATACTGCTTTTATTAGAGCAGTGTCCTGGACAGGCCTTCCAGATATTAGTTCAAGGTTAAAACACTCCTTACACGCACATGCGCGACCGGCCAAAATGCACACATACATAATTGTCTCCCTCTGCGCTGATCCTGAAGGTCTTGTGTTGTTTTTGAGCTGGGGGAAGGAATCTTCTAGCTTGATTGTAGTTGATGTTAATGGAAACTCTGACCTCAGCTACATCCCCCTCTCCACTGTAACCAAACCCTTATCGCTTTAAGGATCTATCATTTCTTATGACGCCTGGACTTTTCTGACAAGGCACAAAGCCCGTGCTTCACATTTAGCCTGGCTGAGCAAAAGATAGACTGTTTCAAGGGAGTTTTGATTTGGTGATGTGCACACTGTAGTGCACACTCCTAGCTTCTAGGAGGGGGACTTTATGGCTATGAAGTCATCCCGTGAGTGATCCGCAGGGATGTTGTGCTGCTCAAACTGTTGCTTCATAAAACTACAGACTACTTAAAACTTCTTACAACAAAGGTGGCTTAGCATTTTGCAGAACAGCGTCACAAAATACTGTGAAATATGTCATAACACAACAAGCTCTGACCCTGCTGGCCATTGTACCTTCAAAATCCACTTTAGCAGTGCATTGATTGATGTTTCAGACAAAAAAAAAAACATCCTTGAGACTAACGGGATGAAGGAGAGGAATTAAAAACAGCAGTAAAATTTCAGTGAATGTGGACTTCAAGAACTGGTGAAAGCACATATGTTCTTTTTAACCTAGCGTTATGCAGGAGAAGCTGGTTAGTTAGCTTAACAGGGTCAATTCACTAGTTTTGTTTTCCACAAAATCTTTCAATACTTCTAAAACAAATCCGTCCACACGAGATGTGCTGATTTTACAGAAGACTACATGCCAGGTCCAGCCGCTTAGGTCAGAGGGAGGTTACCAGTTTTCCTGGTTGCAGCCTCGGTGCTTATCTAAAGCAACGTGGCTTCTTGCACATTTACCCCAATCCCCCACCTAAATAGTGAAATAGCAGCAAGAAAGCAAAAAAAGTTATGTCTTAGTGCCAAAGAATAAACAGATGTTAACCAGTATGTCCACTAAACTAGTCTGACACCTGGTTCCTCCAGTATGCACCTTAAACTGTTTTCGTGCAAGAGCCTGAACCTCCTAAATGCCCCCATTCATCCTTGTGTGTGTGTGTAACAGATAAAGCACAGCATTTAATATGTGAATGTGAATGGGTGAAGTACTTTAACAACAGAAAAGTGCTATAAATATCTATATAACCCCATTTAGAGTTTATTAAAGGATTTACTGCTTTGAAAATTTATTGTTTCTTATAAATGGAAAATAGTAAACATTTGCTGATATTGGGAAGACTTTCTATTCACAGTTTAACTAATGACGCGAGACGACAACACGCAATGTATGGCTCCCCCCCCTGCATTTTAGAGATTGAACTGTTAACTGAACACAGTATCATAATTTTTCCATCTATCATCTTTTAGTTACATTAAGAGTCATTAGCTGCAAGCCCCAAGCTTAACACCTCTTTTGGATGATCACAGTCAGGCGGCGCACAAAGTAATAGGCCAATATTGACTCCCTGCCATATGGGCTCTCATCCAACTTTTACAAGCCACATGTGGTTATGAGGCGCGACGAGCGTGACAAAGACGAGGGATCAGAGACCTTGGATTATGATGCTGGAGCGCAGGTGCTGCATACAGGATTTGGTCTCACTGAAGTGGTATTGTAACTTGATCTTGATTGGTATTTGCCTGTGTGCTTTATTGTATCCCTATCACTTGAGAAAAAAGAGGATTACCAGGTAGAAGACTTCACATAACCTTAGGCAACTTTCATATTCAATCCTCTGCCAATCTTTTCCATAAGATTTTTTTTTTTATTGTTGTCTAGTGTATATGTACGGGAGTGTGGCAGCTGCTGTCCGCCCTGACAACATTGAACTGAAACTCCCAGAGTTATCAACACTGCATCTTCGCATCCATGCTGCAAAAAGCAGAGATTGGACATTTTCAATCTATACCGCCCCTCTGGGTATCTAGACTGCAAGTTATTACTGCGAACTGCTGAATATGCTTGCGAGGTGAACATTACAATCATGTTTTTCCTGATAAGGCAGTGTTAAAACAAACAAAAAGCTACCCACTTTCCCCCCTTCTCCTCACCGCCCAAGGTCTTTGATTGAATTGATCTCTATGCAAATGCTTCTTTTTTAATATGTCCCATTTTCATAAAAACAGCGCGATGGAAGATATAGCAGCCCTCACTCTGTCTGCAGATGAAGAGATAGCACTTGGGTGATACCCATTTCTGTGGCCATATATTGTTTTGTAACCACGGCGCTGCATAAAAAGCAATAAAGAGCCTCTACAAGCCAATGTAATTACACCGCATCCCCGCTGTACGAGATTCTCTATTAGAACAATGGCACTGATATAGGCGTTACAGTCAGTGCTACAAAGTGACATTAAATCATAATGAAGCCACTATATTTTAACTGGCAGGTGTGTATGAGGCCAATATAACGCACTTCACATATCAGCGCTATAGAAAAAGGAAGAGGGAGATATGAGTGACGGGTAAATTCCGTCTCTCCATCAAGGTTCAGCTGCGATGTGGAAGACACTGAAAGTGAACTACGGTGCGTGCGTCTTCCTACCTTCTCGTGGATCTCCTGCGTGGACTGAGCATCACAGAAGGCAACGGTTGCTAAGTCTTTAAGGATGGGCATCTCCACGGTGCAATCACGCCCGTCCAGCAGGGCCACCAACGGGCGGGGATGCATGGGCCCGTTCATGATTTGAGGCCGAATACCTGGAGAGATACATTCAAGAAGAGGAAAGATTATTTTAAACAGAAAAGGTATTAAGAAAGTAGCTTTCAAAATCAGGAAAGATGAAATCCAAATAAAATATAAAATGTAACTATCACTAAATTACAGTCTTCACTCTGTTAATCAACACTCAGATAACAATCATCTGCTGTGTGTATGCATGTGTGCACTTGTGTGTGCTGATTAGGATGTAGCAGGAAGCGGGGCTTCTCCGAACTAACAAAAGTTGCTCAATAAATCAATGCGCCTACTCAAGACTGGATTAGAAGACGGGCTCACTTGCAGGAATCCTCTGGGTCTGGCTCTCAAACGCACACAGAAACATTTACATACACTGACACAGATAGGCGAATGCAAGCAGACAGAGGTTCACACAATCATATGAAGGGGAACAAATTCCCCTGTGTGCATACTGACACGCACACTTTGGTCGTTGTCTTTTACCAGTTAAAAAACGGCGGTGTGAGTGGAACCAGCTGCTGTGGAACAGGGGTGAAAAAAAAGAAGAAGAAAAGAGAAACACTGTGAGGACACCTTTAGAAATGCCTCATAAGAGCAATGCATCATTGAAATGAAGAGCATTGGAGAAAACGCTACAAGCCTGAAACAAACTCGGAAGCGACTCGCAGCTGCACTTCGGCACACTTGACAAAGTGCGTGTCGTAACTCGGGTTTCTGTCGCCGCTCGGCTCTTTCTCCTCTCCTTACTCGCTACTTTTCTCACTTGAAGTAAAATGAGTCAAGAGAAGCCGAACTCCCCAGCGGGATCGACCTTCTCACACATCCCACTGAAGAGGACGTGTCGCGCTTCGAAGACAGACAATTACCAGCCCCTGCTTCATACAATGTTAACAAGTGAGGAGCATCAATATTCATGCTTCCCTCAGATGCTGGCCTGTGGACGGAGAGACTTTAGAAGAAGCAAAACTGCTCCTTGCTAAGAAACAGTATCGCAACACTGCACAGGTCACCATATTCACCCCGACAACAAGATCCCCTGCGGATGTTTCCCTGTGACTTCACGACATCACGTTTCTTATCTAGGTTTGCTGCTAAGATCTGTATCGGGATGCTCATGCATGACCTCACTCTGTGCACGCACTAGTGTATGCATAGCTCTCAAAGTTATCCTGAAGATTACAATGACGCCATGCGATAAGGAGCAGGGTGGAGAAAGGGAAAGGAGAGCAAAGGTGGAGGAGGTCTCATTAGGGCAGTGCTCTTTGGGATTACAGCACACAGCATTGGGACCGATATAGGTGAGATAAGGAGATTTAAGATGAGATGTGTGTGTGCACAAACAAGCTAGAATGCACAGTGAGAAAAACAACAGGTGGGAGGGGAGGAGGGGGGAAGAAAAAGAGGAGCGATTCAGAGAAGAGTGAAATTAAAATGTAAAACAAGGAAGCATAAAAACAGACTAAACACTGCCTGTTAGCTTAAAGAGCTCCCAGGAGACTTATCAGGGGAGAAGGAGGATGAAAGGAGAAGGAGCACATAAACGACAAGAGAGACGCAGAGAAAGCCCAGCTGACAGAAAGCGAGCAGTCCAGCAGTGTAGCCTCTTAGGGCAGGGGGGGAGGATTGTAGCGAAGATGTCGTCTCCGTGCGCCTTCCGCCTGTTGTCATGGTGATCACTTAACAGGCTTTGGCTGCCAGTTTTAATGCACTTTATTTTTGGCACCGCCGGCATCTGCGCCATGAGTTTGGGTCGGAGGCGCAAACGGCCGTATCCACCCCACTCTTGCGGTGCAAAGGGCGGAGGAGATGTTTTCTCCCCTGACATACAGACAGCTGCCTCCTCCCCTCTCCCTCCGCCTCCTCATCTCAAGCCTTCCATCAAACGCCTCCGTTGCTTCCTACCTCCTTATCAGGCTCGCTGTTCAAGACAGCTGACATGACGGTAGGAAAGGTGAGGCTTACCAGCTTGGCTGTCGCATCTGTATGTGACAGCTTGTTGAATATTAATAGAGGCAGCTGGTAAAGACTGGGCAGCAGTGGTCAAAAACATCAACACCAAACTGGCGAGGGTGTGTCAGAAACACTCCACGAATGGTGGTTGATCGATCGAGTGAAACAAATGACTGGATTGTTTGTAATGTCATTGTAAACTGAACACGTCTGGGTTTTGGACTGTTGAAAGTTATGTAAGAGGCCAGTAATAAGTCATTTCCAAATACTTTGGCTTATTTTTCTTCCCAAAAATCACACAAACTCTATTCAAGCTTATTCTATTCAAGATTTTCTTACATGTCCACTAGAGGGCAGAAGAAAACATCTCACAACTATCAATAAAAGTTGCTAACAAATAGTCTATCATAGGTGGCAACATTAGGATTCAGCAGATGTATTTAGTTGCTGATGAGCTTTTATTCTTGCTCAGAGTCAAGGTGCAAATGTGCACTAAAGTAAAAACAATAACCTAAAACAGGCTAAAAACGAAATGCCACTTGTTACTTGTCACTGATTCAGAGATATGAAGAAAAATACTGATTATGGCTTCTCCCTGCTTCATCCTACCAGTGTGTACTTTTATCTAACAATTATTGGCGCACAGTGTGTGTGCACGTTAGAGAAGCTGTAGATGAAGCAGTAGGAGAGAGGAGTGGTTGACAGGCTGTGTGAAACCCTTAGGCAGAAGTTAGATAGGCTGAACTCCATGAATCATCCACCGGGTTCCTCTGACCTTTCAGTCTCTTACTCAGTCTCTTAATCTCCCTCTTGTCGACTTCTTCCTCTGCTACAATTTAAAGTATCGTTGGCACTGTTGTATTTTCGCAGATCTCTCCCTGTATGATAGCATCTTCTGACAGCTCCTCTTTGCTGCCGATGTCTAGCCCTGAGTGACTGTTTGCTCACTGCGCATCTCATTTTCTTTTTCTCCCTTTTCACATAAATTCCTCCCCGACCTCTGCTATCATTCCTCAGCTGTCTTTCAGTAATCACTGCCCCTCCTTTCTCTGTCATTCTTTCACCTCAACTGTCTTTTCCTCCATTTTCTATTCCGACCCTCAATTCCAGTTGGTCTGTCTGTCTATAAGCCGAAGCGCGCATGTCCTCCTGTGTGACAGATTGATTCTTACACTGTTGATTTTGATGGAGATGATATGATATATTCAGGCAGGGAAAGCAGGGAGGTGACAGGCAACACTCTCTCTGTGTTAAATTGACAGCAAGTACATCAAACCAGTCTCAACCGGAACCGCTGGGTTTGTCAGCTGCACAACACCACAACACCCGTTTCTGATAGGTGATGCGTTCATGACACCTTTCTCACCACCTCTTTTCTCCGTGGTGATACTCGACAGCATCCCTGTGCTCTGTGCATCTATAACAAGTCTGTACCAATCTAGATTAAGTAGAATATAGAATTGTGTGTTTAGATGTGTTCATACATCTGACAATTTAAAGCTTCATATTTAAGTCACAATAATGGATGGGGAGTAATAGTCTCGTAACCAGGCAACAACGCCCGGGGCTAGAAAATGAGGGCAACGCAGAAGTGCCTGAAAGTGTCCACTTCCTCGAGTGTCCACTCGAGGCTGGCTTCAAAAGCGCTAATAAACTCTCGTGTTAAAATAAACATGTTCACAGGCTGTTTCAAAAGACAGTTTTCACGTCAATAGTTAATTTTCTCCTTCGTAACATCCTTGATATGAGGGTTTCTGTTTCGCCATCTTGGTTGCAAAAAATGGATGTGATGAGGAGGGACGGGTCTGGCACCCATTAGCTACCGACGTGGGATTGACAAGATGATAGCCAGTGTGGTTTCATGCCATTTTGAAATGTGACATGAAAAAGATGTTCAAAATAGGAATAATTTTTTACTCAATCTACAGGTATCGCCACCTGGTGGCGGCAGTTTGTAAAGGGTCTCTTTTTACTGCCTGAGTGGTGCCTTACGGGGTATTTTTCATGCAACCTTCTTATTTTTCAGTTAATGTACATTTGAAAGTACATTCAAGAAGTCTGGTCCTGAGAATTCATAATGGGATTTCATCAGCCAATGAGGGATGGAATGGAGTGACTATCATTTATATACAAACTATGCAAATAGTCGGGGTTTAAAAAACTTAACATCGATCTAAAGGCTTTTTGGCTTGCAAATTATGGGTGAAAAGGTAGTAAAAATCCCCTCTAAAGTGCCATAAACTAGAATAATTTTGTGCTTTGAAGCCACCAGCAGTTTTCTCAAGATTACGATTTACTGTCAACCTCCAATTTATCTTTTATCTCAGCATGAATTTAACTCTTTGGAACAAGACAATCTCAGTGAGAGGCACTGCAAGCCTTGGAAACAAGCTTTAACCTCCACTGTGACAAGCACTCTCTAAGCTCACTTGTTTTAACAGCTGTGCAACACCTTTTCAGAGGCAACAGGCAGGAGTAAAACAGCATTTTCAGCAGGTCTGCCATGTTCTCTGCAGGTTTACGTCCTGGCGCCTTGGCAAACGCGGCCGCTGGCCACCTGACTGCAAACAGCCAGAGGATTTGAACTGAAGCATGAGCACAGACTTTCATACGGTGCACCAAATCTCAGCAAATGTGTTAAGTGAAGGGCAGGGGATTGTGGAGTATTGGAGGTAATGTCAGAGCCGCAGGAGGCAGAGTGCTCTTAATTTCACTCACTCCTCCATTAATTAATCTCCCTCATTTTCTTTCCTCCTAGTTCTTGCGTCCTCTGCTTGCCGCTTAACTGTTGCCAGGCTGCAAATGCATGCGCGTGAGATGTTTAGGGATGAATTAATTCTCTTTGAGGGGGGCAGCTGCTGTTGTGGGTTTACCTGCCAAAGGAAATAATGCATGTGATGCATGTTCACACGCATACACACCTCCTGCTGTGGTGTAATATGTGTAATGATAGATTTGGGGCTGTAACTAATGATTTTCTTCATTGGTGATTAATTATTTGATTTTCTTCAACTATTTAATTAATTGCAAATCTTCGACATGTCAAAAATTAGCGACATAAGTGACATTT